CCCAGAACAAGCTGGGAAAATCTCCAGGATGCCAGCCAGGGCACTGAGGAGAGTTTCCAGGGACTTAGGCCACTGCCACTCCCTCCCTTCCTGGAAAAGAATGCAAAGTGCAGCTTCTATCCCCAGATCCAGGCCTTATGCTCCATTAAGCATTGTAGGCACCTTGCCCAGTTGTTATTTTAATAAACCTAGTTGTGCTCCTCAATTTCCCTTAGAGGACCCACTGGGCAGGCCAGCACTGGTAGAACCTTGTATTTCCCCTCTGGTTGACCCAGGAGCCATTTGATGAAAGTTCTGTCCATAGTATTAGTGCTGGTTTAGGAAGTTTGGCTTTCTTGCCATTGTAATGGGTGTTGCAACTCCTGGTCTCTGTGGTTCAGACCAACAACAGCAGAGTAGAGTTGATGTGGATTTTGAGCGCGTTATGGGGAGATGGCATTTCAGGAAAGAATAATTGATTTAAAGCCATTGCTTTTCTCTTAAAGGCAGGGGGCATGGCAGGACAGAAAGAAAGCAATGATAAGCAGTATTTGCCCTAAAAAATCTATCTTCACATTTTTAATGTATCACTGTCCAAATTTATAAATTTTTTTGTGCTTCATTGAATCTACTTCCACTGTGTTTGAGTAGGATTTAAATAATTTATAAATAAAGAATTTTAATAAATCTCTCATCAGGCCTTGGCTAGAACCTTGGGATTTGCTCACCTTCTAATTTCCCAAGAGAAAAATCATCTTCAGACTCCTGTTGATTTTTTTGGGCTGTTTAGTTTATTCCATAGTGTTCTTAACATCTGGGAAAAGGTTACCAGGAAGATTAGGAAGATTTACATTTGGAAGATGAGGATAATCTTCAAATGCGTCTGAAAGGAAACAACGCCCCCCTCTCCTCTGTTGCCTCACCCATTCGTCACTAGGAGAAATAGCATTATTGGAAAAAAAAATTGCTGCTGCCTGTGACCACTATACCCACAGAAAAGGAGTGGGAGAGAAAATACCCATGTGACGGACCAAATCATTCCACCCCCTGCCTTGAGCTGCCTTTTCTAGGAGCCAACTTTCCCCCTTGGGTCCTTGGGAGATTCTTAATTTTAATTGACTCAGAGGAGTTTTACTTTGAATTTGAAAACCACACAGAAATGGGAAGTAAGTTAAAGAGTTCCACTCTCCCTCCCCCTCCCCCTGCCTGAACACACAAAGATAGATACAAACAAATCCAAGGTACTCAACAGCCTTAAAACAGAATCTTGGGCTGGCACCAGAGTCTAGGTTTGTGATAGGCTCTGTATTTGCAGCAGGCTCCTCAGAAGTTAGGTGAACCCTACCCACACAGAATGGAGTTGTGTTGCAAACTTTGCCCTGTGAGCAACCCAGTGGGGATATTTTTCTAAATTGGATTTTTTCCTCTTCATGAATTGTTTCCAAACAATTAAAAGTAGACACGCTATTGAGGAGGACAGAGTATGTGGGAGTAGATTTCATTCTCTGAAATGATTTTTGTTTTGTGAGGGGATAGGACGCTAAATGTTTCTCCTAGCTCTCAACAGTTTCCCTGTCACTGGGTTCTATTTTTCATTTGCTGCCCTCCACATCTTTGTGTTTCACAGCTCATAGAATCTTGGCTTCAGAGAAATAAATGGACCCAAGAGAGAGTTATATTTTAAGAAACAGAATGATGGTTGCTCACATTTTAAGTTAATAATAAAATCTGAATGTAATTGGCCAGATCCTCGCAGCAGAGAGTGTGTGTAACCCATCATCTGGCCAGTGTGAGAGTTTGGCACTTCTGTGGCACAGGAGAGGCCACCCTCATACAGCCAGGAGGACCCACTTAGGACCCTGTGGCCAAGAGAAGATTAAACACTGGGAAAGTTCTGTGAGCAGAGAGGGCAGACAAGGGCTGTGAAGTTGGAAGTAGAATTGAAGAGTTGTAGAATTATGCGAATGGTGGAACAACAGAGGGCATATCTATCCTGCGTTTAAAAAATGCGCTTTCCACCCTATACTTCTCTAGCTAACTGCCCTCCCTCCCTCTTCCCTTTCACAACCAAGATTTTGAAGACTGTATCCTTCCTGGTCCCACTTGTTTACCTCAGTGTACTCTCTGATCTTCTTGGGTTCAGTTTCTGTCTCCTTCCCTTCACAAACTACTATCATCAAGATCACTGATTACTGATGACTTCCTTGTTCAAAAGAAAACAAAACAATAGAAGCTTTTCAGTTTTATTTAACCTCTCACCATCATTTGACATGCTTTAATTTCTGTGACACTACTCTCTTGTTTTTTATCTTCTTCCTTTGGTTGCTCCTTCTTAGTTTAAGAAGTCTTGCTGTTCCATTCCACAGGGATCCTTCCATTGTCTCCTCTTCTTACTCTACATACTCTCTCTAGGAGATCCCAAGCATTTTGTAGCTACATCATTCATATGTCAGCAATTCTTAAATCTATATTATTAGTCCATTTCTCTTTCCTGAACTCCAGACCCCATACATCCTGTTTTCTCTTGAACATTTCTTTCTGTATGGAATGTTCCAAAGCTAACTCAAATTCAGCATGCCCAGCTACCCAAGCTTGTTTTTCCTCCTGTCTAACCTTTTTTTTGTAAATGGCATGAGATCCTGAGGCACTCAAGCCAGAAAACTTGATATCTCCTCTTTTTTTTTTTTTTTTTAATTGATCTCCCTGCTTCCGACATTGTCTCTCTTTGGTCTCTTCTCCAACAGACAAATTGATTTTAAAGAGTAATTCAGACCATATTAATCCTTACTTAAAACTATCTAATAGCTTGCCATCACAAGTAGAATAATATCCAGACTTCTTACCATGGCCCCACTTGATCTGGCCCCTGCTTTTCTCTCTACCCCCTCTCTCTCCACTAGCCCTTTTGGTTTTTTTTACTTTGATCCAATGACGTTGGCCTTCTTTGCATCCCTCACCCACCTCATGGCATTTTACTGTTTTATTGTCTGGAATATTCCAACTTCAGGCCTTTGCATTACCGGCACCTTTTTCTTTGGTTGGTTCAAATGTAACCTTCACATATAGGTCTCTGCTGATCATCCTAGCGAATTCAGCACTCTCCCTGCCCACCCTGATTGCTGTTTTGTATTATACATTGGAATTTTCACTATCTGAAATTCTCTTGTTTGTTTAGGTTTTCATTGTTTGTCATTCTTTCTAGAATGTAAGCTCTATGGGAGCAGACTTGCTTTGTTTATCACTATATCTCTGTTACCTCAAAGAGTGCCCGGAAGATAGCGGGTAACCAACAACTATTTTTTTTTAATGAAAAAAAAACCCCCCCAAAACGAATGAACAATATTCTTGGATCCTGAGTTGGCCATACTGCTTGCAGTTCCCTGAAGCACAACATTCTGCTTCCTCTGCCTATAATCCTCTCCTCTTTTCTCTTTTTTAGTTCAACTCCTGCTTATCCTTCAGTACTTGACTTTGTCACTTCCTCCAGGAAGCTCTCTTTGATCTTACGAATTTACGGTTAACACCTACAATATACTCCCTAGCACCTTATATATATCCTCATCATAGTACATAGACAATTTCCATGAAAGTTTTTAATATATCTCTCTTCCCCATGAGACCAGCTTCTGGCAGGGGTGGTATGTTATTTGTATCCCCGACCTAGTGGGAATCTATAAAAATACACTTGAGAAACTCTTCAAACAAGTCTTCTGTTGACTTATTTGGTAAATCATAGAAGTCTTTGGTAATGTAAATTAGCTGTCTCAAGTTCTTCCACTTGTTAAGTTTTGATTTTTAGACATTGAGGTTTTTAAAACATAGGAGCATATACAAACTTACTTATAAAAAAGGCTCATATCCCCACTAAAGTTTTCTATAATAAGAATAATAACATTAAATATGTTACCTATAATTTATTGTCTATTATATGTCATGCATCTCTGACATAGATTGTCTTATTAACCAGTAACTTTTCAAGGTGTAGATATTATTGTTCTCATTTTATGTGTGTAGTAATCTGTTCAAGCTAATATAGCTAGTAAAACAAAGCTGGGATTTGAATCCAGGTCTCTTGATTTCTAAGCCCAAGCTCTGTCTGCTACACCATGCTGCCCCCTATAGGACAAGCCCACAATTCAGAACTATTTATTAAAAATATCAATTATTGTTATTGTACACAAAATTGGAGCTCTTATAAGCTATAGAATCAAGAAAGATGCTTTGCATGCCATTGTTTTAATTGACTAGAAAAATGGCACTAGTTTCAACATGTCCTAGGCAAGAGCATTATATTGCCTTTGACCAGTATTCTTTCTCTCTGTTTATACACGTAAAGGTGTTTGTAGAAATTTGTGTTAACCCAGCCATGTTTTCGTGCTTAGTATTTGCCACGTAAACTCTAACTTAGTTCCCAAGAGTGGAGGTGACTTGCTAGCTTCTCTGTAAGTTGTCTCCTGCTTGTTGTATCCATGGTGAGGCCAACTTACTTATTTGGCCTTAGGCTCAGGATTCTAGTTTATCCAGGGTTTCTCTTTTTCCCACCTCCCACCCCAGGACATTGGTGCCATGTGGATGGGAAGTTTGCCCTGAACTTTTACCCAGGCTGGGACCTACTTCCTCCCTCATTCCTGCCAGCCTGTATTTACTAGAGGCTGGGCCTGTTCTCCTTCCTTCCCTGGTTTTGGTCAGATTCCCTTGGCTGACTTGGCCCTTAACTGGCACTGCAGCCGTCTCCATTCTGCATTTCTGAAGCCTCATCCCTGCTCTGTGTCCTTTTGGAAGCTTGGGCTAGAACTGGACTGAATCTTCCCCACACCTAAATGGAGTTGATCTTAGGTTATTGCACTAGTTTCCTACCCCTTCACTGTTCTGATTTTGTTCCCCCTATGCTTTTAGACTCTCATCACTGAGCAGTGTTTCCTACTATTTGCTGGGACCAACGCCTCAGCAGAAAAGAACATCAGTGGAGATAGGACAAAGAATCTGATGAGTGAAACAGAACTTTAGATCTTATTGCTTACCACTCACTGCCTTTCTTCTGTGCATCTCTGGGGATGGGGATGGGGATGGAAGACAGTCTGTATGTGATGATGTAGAATTGATCTTCTTTAGGTTCTGCTCATCTGAGGGGTCTATCAGCTTAGTGATGGGTAAACCAGAAACTGGTTGTTTGTATCTTGCATACTGTAGAGCATCCATGATCCATCTCATTCCACGCCAAACTTCATCTATTTGCTTTGGGATAAAATGATAAAAGACATTAAGTTATCAAACAGAAATTAAAAAGGAGTAAGTTTTCTTGAGAGTTCAAGATGATACATTTTCCACAGTATTGGTTTTGAGCAAGAGTACAGTATTTTCAACATAGTTTTACTAAGCCAGAAAATATCTCTTCTTTATAATCTCTTGCATATTTTACCTCTGAGGCTATGTCATTTAGTGCAAATAGTGGAAGACCTGGATTCCAGCTGAGATCCACCAGTTATTAGCGCCGTAATAACCTTTGGCAAGTCATTTGACCTCTTTGAGCCTTAGTTGCCTTATTTGTAAACTGTGAACAAAATGTCTCCCCTTTTATACCTCACAGGACTGTTGATGATTGGATGATATGATGAATTTGAAAGTGCTTTGTGAAACTGCAGGGTACGTTTCTCACACATATGAAGTGTTATTAATTCTCAGCATGTAATGAAATATTTCTCATTAGGATATTGTGGGGAAGGGATCTGATAAAATCTGAATTTCAGAATACTTGAAGAAAGAACTGTAGTTTCAGTTCCTCTCTGTTAACTGGAAAAACAAAGCATTACTGGAATATTTTGCTAAGCAGAGATTCTTGGACCTATTTTAATAGAAAAGAAATAACTTTATATATTAAACTAATTACTTTCTTACATATAAAATAAGTGCTTCTAAAGTACAAAACAGCTTAAACAGCCTATTCCTAAGTAATTTAAACATCCTTGCATTTTTAGGGTAGCCCATTTTAGATTGTTACCATTTTGATTTCTGGGTTACCAAAGTGATTTTAACAACATTTTCACTCTGAAGTAAAATAGCTGTTTCTCTGAAGCCTATTAGTGTAAAAGTCACCGTGTTTTTGTGTCTACCTCTGTAAATGACAGATGTTTTCCCAGAACGTAATAGACCCTGGCCACGAACTTTCTGGTTATTCTGACTCTCTCCAAAGAGGGTCTGTTAGTCATACATTTTTTTCATGGGACCCTGGAGCGTGTGATAAGTTTTGCATCTAATTTTACTGGGTGCCTTGGGCAAGCCATTAACTTTTTCAGACCCATTTACTCAACTGTAAAAAGAGGAGGTTGAACTAGATGATGTCTAAGGTCCTTTCCAGCCTTGACACTTTGATTTATTTTTGAAGAACATTTGGAAAGTTGCTGTCACTCAACTTCCAGGTAGAAGGTGTTCATTGTATGAATACTGCAAGGTTAAAGTCTCTGATTGTAGAAGTTTTAAAGATAAGAGACTACCCAGTGTTCTATTTTATTTTCAAAATTCCTTCTTAAGGCCTTAATCTGTACTTAAAGAAAATTCTTTAAAGAATATCCACTGGGGCTAGCCTGGTGGTGTAGTGGTTAGATTCTTATGCTCTGCTTCAGTGGCCCAGGGTTTGCAGGTTCAGATCCCGGGTGTGGACCTAGCGCCACTCATCAAGCCACACTGTGGCGGCATCCCACAGAGAGTGGAGGAAGATTGGCACAGAGATTAGCTTAGTGACAATTCTCCTCAAGCAAGAAGAGGAAGATTGGCAACAGATGTTAGCTTGGGGCCAATCTTCCTCACCGAAAAAAAAAAAAAAAGAGTATCCACAAACTTGGTGCTCCCAACAAACACAGAGGAGATTCTGAAACTGTGACACTCTATCTACTCAGAGTGACAGACAAGCTAGAGTCAAACTAGTGAATGGCACTGTGTGGTCCATAGCCATTTTTTCTTGCTTTCTAGTTCTGTTCTGTCCTGGAGTGACAGGACTTGGCAGAGTATTAAGGGCTATTAATGAAAGCATGAGATTGAGCTTCAGGCTTTGTTAGGTAGTGAGTTGGGCAAAGCGTTCAGCAGGGAGCAGGCCTGTTAGGAGGTACTGAGCATTGTAAAGGGAGAAATCTGAAGTTTAGGGAGGTAAAGACAAAGTGGGAATCCCAGAGGAGATGCTGACAAATTTTCTTGATGGGATTGTGACTCTCTCCTCTGGCTTTTATTGGTCCCACCTCATGCAGCATACTCTTGTCTCAGTTATTTTAAAGGCACTACATGACTGTGGACAGCTGTTACAATATTCTTTTGTATCTTTTACTCTGGACTGGGCAAAGAGTAGGTACTCAATAAATGATTGCTCAGTGAATGAATGAATGAATGAATGGTTACCTAATTCTTTAGATCTCTACCCTTGAACAGAGTTACTTTCAGGATTAAGTAAGATAATGTAGATGAGTGTACTTTATAAACTGTACCTTGTTGTAAAGTTTTCAGTTGTTACAGTGACAGTCATGATTATTGTAGTGGGTTGAATGTGGCCTCCCAAAAGATGTCCTAATCCCTGGAATTTGTCAATATTACCTTAAATGATAAAAGGGTAAATATTACCTTGTATGGCAACAGATGTGATTTGAGTTAAGGATTTTGAGCGGAGAAGTTTGTCCTAGATTATCTATGGGGGCCCTAATTCCAATGACAAATGTCCTCGTAAAGACATTCTTATAAGAGTGAGACACTGGGAGATTTGGCAGACAGAAGAGAAGGAGGCAGTGTGACCTCGGAAGCAGAGACTGAAGTGATGTGGCTGCAAGTCAGAGAATGACAACAGCCACCAGAAGCTGGAAGAAGCAGAGAACAGATTCTCCCCTGGAGCCTCCAGAGGGAGTGTGGCCTGCCAGCACCTTGGTTCCAGACTCCTGGCCTCCAGAGCTGTGAGAGAACACATTTCTCTTATTTTAGCCACCAGGCTGTGGTCATTTGTTACGGCAGCCCTAGGAAACTAAGACAGTTATTAATAATAATCCACTTGTTCTCTTTGGATAAGATTGCTTTAGCCTTATTGCTGAGGATGGACAGTGAAATTTACTGTAGAAATTTAAAAAATTATGTGTAGAAACAATGTTTACTTCTTAATTTTTCTCAGTGATGATGAAGTATTAACTGAAGAAAAATTAAAAACACAGGTACAGGGAGGCCTGTGGACTGAGTTTAACAGACTTAGCTAAGTAGCTCTAAAACAAGGAACAATTTGCACCCATTTTACCTTATACTGTTGATCTAAAAATAACTGACAACATAATCCCCTTGATTTTAAGGTTCAAATTCAACTTCTGAAGACTTGCTGACACGTTTTTAAAAAGAAAGACCATAAACTCCCTAGGTTTGTTGGTTAAAAATTCTGCATCCGTTTCTCACCCTGCCCTTTAAAAATTTTGGTTTTCATCCCATAAATTACACCCCTTTCTCTGTACTCAGGCAAGATAATATTTTTATTAGAATGTAAAGGTGATTGGTTTTTTCACAGCACAGTTACAAGGTGCTTGAGGGGATGATAGATTGGCTATATTTAATGAGCTGTGTTTCTATTACAGCTTAGGAGCATTTGAAGCATTACGGTATATAAATTATAGCCTAATTGCCCTTTAGGCTTTAGCAGCTCAAAATATGCCAGGCTTCAAGTCTGTGCACTTTGACATTTCTGCTGCATGTGCTGTCTGTAAAGCCTGTATACCTTATCTACGATTTTATGCACCTCCTCTGGCCCAGCCCTCCCCGTTTCTGGCTGTACTCCTTGGCTTCTTTTCCTCACTGTATTTACATAGACTCCCTTGCTCTTTACAATGTTTGGTTTGTGTAGTGACTTCAACACTGTCTTAGATGTGGAATCATACAAATGCTCTCACGGCTGGTGGTTGCCTCTGCAGGTTATGGTGTGTGGTGGACTGAGCTGTGAACGCCAGTGGGTGAGTGGCTGCAGCTGGTTTTCATTCTGAGTGAGAGAAACTGAGAATCCCAACATAGATAAGGGGAGAGATGATCTCACATTATCTGCAGTCAATGAAGTTATTCATGTTGGATGGAGCAAGGCAGTCTGCTGAAGGCTATGGGTACAGGGAGATGGTCTCGTTTTACCCTAGCTGAGAAGTGATTTTTTTGAACCCTTTGAGAATTGGCTTTTATCCAAGTCTACATGTACCTGGCTGGCTGGAAGGAGAGTATGTAGAGTGGACTCTCAAGTTACCTGCTTTGGGAGACCAGAGCAGGCTAGCACTTTGAAGAATTCCTGGCCTGGCCTGCCTTTATCCATCTCACTTAATGCTGTGATGAAAGGGAAAGAGAAAAAGGTAGTGGAGCCCTAGGTTAGGTGAAAACGGAGTAAGGGTAGTCATCAGGGAGTAAGAATGGAGCCAGGAACTCCTGGAGGGGTTTGAGACTGGGACAGACTGAAGAAAGTCAGCCTTTTTGTTGCATGAACATACTGGATTCAGGGAGGCTTAAGTGGAGTAAAGCAGAAACAGAACCTATGGCATGGTTAGAGAAGTACTTCTCTAGAAATATTTATGGTTTTTAAAGAAGTCATGAAATGTTAGAGCCAGCCAGGCCCTTAGAAGTCATCTGGTTCAATCCTTTCATTTTACATGTGAGGAAATTGAGGCCCCTGGAGATCAAATGAATTGTCTAAAACTCCAAGGTTTATCAGTGGAAGATTTAGGACTAAAAATGTATGCTAATTGACTTCTGGTCATTATTCTTACTATGTTCCATTGTCCCTTATACTGGGTTCAAAAGATAAGCCAGTCTTTCATATTCTCCTCATGCTTCATTTTTCTTTTTCCCCACACATTCCCCCTATTGATGTTCCACTTTTATTGGAAATAAAATAAATGATGTAAATGTTTTGAATATTAAATTCTCAGGTCAAGAGAGCAAGTCACTTTTTGAACGGTTTATTTCTTTAGTCTGAGAGGTCACCTAAGATATCTCATTTATAGAATGAGAGAAGTAGGATAGGATTTGTCAGCTCACCACTTTGCAAGTATATTATACTGTTTTCTTCCTGAGTACTTAATAAACCCCAAATCTTGCATGTTCATGTTTCAAAGCATTTTCCCTTCTTATTAGTGAACGAGTGAATGAATGAATATATAATTTATTGCACACTTATTATGTTCAGGCACTTTGCTGAATGCTGTGCATGCATTATCCTGTTGGATTTTCTCAGTAACTCTGAGCTGGTGCTATTAGTATCCTCCCTATTTTACAGATGAGGAGATTGGGATTGAGAGAAATTTCTTCGCCCAAAGTTCACAGCATTTCCTTATCTTAGGTCCTCATTACTTCTTGCCTGGATGGTTGTAATAGCTTTGTCTCTGGTTTTCCTGCCATTAGTCTTCTTCTCCTTAAATCTAGGAATGAGATGCAAATCATTTAGTGAGCATGGCCAATGAGAGTGAGTGCTTACCGTAAACCACCAGTATGGCCATACCAGTGCGAATGGGAGGAATATCCCCCCTGATTGAATCTATCCTGAACAGCTATGAGAGCCTCTAACTTACTTCTCCAAAACTTTGGCCAGGTCCCTGTTGCTTATAAAGTACAAATTTCTTGTAATGGCCTTTAGTAAAGCTCTTGTGATCGGATCTCATTGCTGCTTTCATTCTTGCCTAATTTCTCATTACCATACTTCACTCCGTTTATGTCCCAACCAATCTTGACTACTACTCATTCCCCAAATACTATTTTTCTGTTCTCTGTGCCTTACCTGTTGTATACTTTTTCTTTGAATACACCCTCCCCCAGTCTGTTTCTTCTCACTATACTCTAACCTCTCCCTCTAGGCCTATCTCAGATGTTGGTTCCATGCTTTATCACAACTGTTCTTAAACCTACAAATGTAAGTAAGTTTTTACTTTTTTGTGTTGACACAGAACTTTTTTTTTGTGCTTCTGTTTCAGCACCTGATTCATTTTACAAATAGTATTTATATACATTTCTTGCCTACTCTAATGGATTTTAAACTCTTTAAGATCAGGGACCATGTCTAATTCAACTTTTTATTTCCCTTACAGTGCCTAACACCTGGCTGTTCAACAAATATTTATCAAATTGAACTGAATATAAATCATAGTGATATTTATCACAGGGGTATTGCTATTATACTATTTTATTAATTGGGTAACTACAGGCAGAAAAATCGTAAGATTTGTCCAGGGGATTTAGAGGCAGTTTCAGACCAGATCCAAATTCTCTTGATGTCTAGCCAGTACTCCTGTCACAAGACCCTGAGATGTTGCCATAGGGCCTTTCCAGACAAGACTGTGGACAGGGAACACATTTTCTAACCTTGGTAGCCACACATTAAAGTGTCAACTCTGCTGGAAAGAAGTCTGAAGCGTGAGGAATCTTAGGTTCAGCTAGATTTGAGTTAGCATAAAGTGGTGGGTTGTTTTCTTCTCTTTTTCTCTGGGATATTGAGTTAATACAATTTTTCTGTCTGTTGGAATTATCAGTGCGCTATTGGGTAAGAATAATATTCTGAGCACTACTCCTTCTGATGGTGATTTTTCTCTCCAATGTGATAAGCCACTGCTACCCACCACAGTGGCTGATGCAGCTCTTAGTAACTCTGTGATTTACCTGTAGCTTTTTCTTAAGTCTTTGTTTAAAAACTCACATCTCCCTGAGCTCCATACATTTTAACCAAATCAACTGGCTACTTGTACACTGCAGTCTTTAAATTTAGCCCAGATTGCTATTCTTTCTCATGCTTGGTTCTCATCCCCTCCACCTTACCCCTTCTTCCATCCTTTTACCTCAGAAGAAACAAACTATTACCTGAATGAAATCTAAAACCTGCTGGTGTCTTTGTTTGGCAGCTGCAACCTCGCTGTCTGAGATTGCTTCCCTCAGGGACTGTTGGGTATTCAGAGAATCTAACTCCACAACAGCAGAAAGGCGGCAATACAGACTAATAAATTTCTCCCTGTAGCTGCAAAAATGAACTGGAAAACAGACAAGCAAAATAAAGCATGTTAAGATCTGGTATCAAAATAGAGAAATTCATACCTCAGAGAAAACAAGTTGAATGAAAACGTGATTTATTAATCCTATCAGTGGAAAATATTAAGCCATAAATAAATTATAAATGTGCTCTTAAGGGGCTAGTTGTCTGGCTTTAGTCAGACAGTATTCCCTTTTAAGGTTTACCAAGTCCTGGTAAGGTATGGGGAAGTGGGGTTGGCTTAAGTTGCAGTTTATGTTCAGCCCCTACAGTTGAGGCTGAATATATATATAGATATATATTGGGAAAATAAGTTTGCTTATCACTTTAAGGAAAAAAAAGCCAAGTAGCACTTTGGAACCGGTTTTGATTTCAATTTGTGATTTCCAGTATGTATTTTGTGTGCTCCTTTCCAAAGCCAGAAGTCCCAGAAAATACAAGACATGCTTTTCTCAGAGTGTCTATTGTCTGGTTGGAAAATATCCCTAAGGACCTAGTATGATGGGTTTTGATCCTCCTCTTGCCTCTCTGCTCCTCAGCTCTTCTAGAAGGATGATGGAGCTGATGGCTTGGCAGACCATGTTTGTCTTCAGCAGACTTGACCTTTCTCTCTCAAAAGATAATGGGCCAGAGGCCAGAGGAGACAGTCTTCATCCCCAGCATGGAGGAGGGAAAGAGTAGTGTGGGAGTCAGCCTGGTGCAGGCGGCCTGAGGTGGTCAGATTTTCCATACTTCTCTGACTGGCTCTGATCATATACCGTAACTTCAGATTTCAGTGGGATAAGGAAAGCATCCTGATTCAGATTAGTATAGTACCAGTCTCTTCCTGGTGATTGTTGAATTTGGAGACTCACCCTCCAGGAACCTCACTTACTCTGTGTACCTCTGACCTATGCTGGTGCGTTACATGCTTTGGAAATAGGGCTGCTATAACTCAACAAATCTGTGGGAACATTTTTATTCTTATTTCTTTGGTGAGGAATTCTAGGAAGAACATCTAATTATTGCCTTTGAACCTCTTTGCTTTTGATTCTGGAGACCCAGATATGATCATTTAGGGATGTTAAAACTACACTACCTCAAAATGGGGCATCTGGTGATCTCTACACCATGTGAGGAAGCCCTACATCTCTGCATATTGAGGGATTTAAGTGTACCCTTCAATTCCCATCTTACCACTGCCACTTCCTTGCTTGATTTCCTCTTAGGATCAATCTCAGATAAGTGTAAGGGTAATCCGCTTTGTTTGTATTTCTTCATGTGGAAGTGGAAGAGAAGAATGGGGTGAGGGCTTCAGAGGTCCATCCTTACTCTAGGTGTGCACCATTTCGAGGAAGTATTTCTCAGTTTGGGTAGTCTCAGTTCTAGGCTTGTTTTTTTTCTCTCTTGTGTCAGATCTTTCCTTCCTACTTTCTCTACTCTAGCACTTCTTTGCCTGACACACAGAAGAACTGATTTCATACAGGTTTCTCAGTAAATGACAAACTATTGAGCTTCTCCCAAACAGTCTACTTCTCCTGATATTTCCCTTCTTAAAGACCTCCGTAGAGCTCCTTCTTGACCTCAGGGTAAAATCCAAACATCTTAACACCAAAGGGAAAGCTCCTTGTGATCTAGGATTTGAATATATCTTCAATCATATCTTGCATCATGCAACCACCCTCCACCCTCCACCCACATTGATCCTAAGCTTTGATCTAGCTTAACATATTCCAGGTTCTTTTGTACTTCTGTGCTTTTAAACTTGCTTTTTCCTTGTCCTCCAATATCCTTCTCTACCAATACCTTTAGGTTAGCTGCTTCTGCTACTTGAAGATTCAGCTTGAGTATCTTTTCCTCAGTGAAATCTTCACTGATACCTCCTCCCTCCAGGCAGAACTAGTTTCTTCTGTGCTCCTAAAGCCCTAGTTTCTAAATAATCGGGACACTTAACCTGCTTTATTGTAGTAATGTACTTGACTGCCTTGGTATTAAACTGTGATTTCTTTGAGGGCAAGATCCATGTCTCCTGTTAATTTTTATCTTCTCAAAACCTGGAACATTGTAGCTTCTCACCTAATTTTTATTGACTAAATGATGAAATAAATTTGTGCCCTGATCTGAAGAGGGCTGACCCTTCCTCTACAGTCTCCTGTTTCCTTCCTTTCTCTCTTTTATCACTGCTCTTTATTTTCCTGTTTTGAAAGGTGTATTTCAGGTCTGTGATATTTATTGGCAGCTCTACAGGAAAGAATCACCATTACTTTGTAACTTGCTCTTGACCCTTGTAGCTCCCTGAATGTGTCTGTATGCCTTTCAAGGAGGGATTATATCCTGTTAGCACTTGACAGATGTCCTCTCTTGGCTGGAGAGTGAAGAGAGTGAAGTGTCTCTCAGCCTGCCTTTCCAAACCAACTTGTAAAAAAAAAAATTGGCTTTTTTTCCTTCTTTCTAAAGTATGGCTGGGAAGATAGGCAGAGGACTGAAGAATTTCTTTAAAGGAAACACTACCAGTCCCATCTGAATTCTAAACTCCAGAATGTCCACAGCTTTCTCTTGTGTCTCTTTGCGGTAGGAGCCTTGGATCAGTGGGTGGTCTTAGAGCGCCCACACCACCCGTGCCACTCACCACAGTGAGCTATGAGGACCTGTCAACTACAGTGCTTCTCTTTCCTGCTCTAGTGGTTTTTATCCAGAGCCTTTAATGTTACTTTAACAAATGTTACTTTAACATAGTCTTTTGTGGTTTAGCAATGATACATTTGGTAGCCATCACTGAGGAGGGGAGGATAGACTGGAAGCTTCTAATTTTTTTCTAATGTGAATCACACACATTTTACAGACAAAATGGTATAAGGGTACAATAATGCATTATCTGGACCACATGATTTGTTAGTGATTTACAAACTAAGACTAATGTTCTGCATTGTTTTCTCTCTCTTTTTTTCTGCATAAGATAGTGGCAGACTAAAATGCAGTCGGCACCAACACTAGAAGTCAGATTAGGAGTATAGTAGAGTGGAAAGTACTGAAGTTTAGGCATCAGACAGACCTGGGTTTGAATCATAGTTCTGCCACTTATTACCTACGTGATAGTGGCCGTGTAACCTAGGGGAACCTCAGTTTTCTCATATCTAAGACAGGGATAATAATTCCTACCTAGGGTTAAATAATATGTATATAAAGTGCCCAGCACAGCATGTGGCACATATCAGATATGAAATAAAGTTTTGTTTACACCCCTACCCCATTCCCCCAGGAAGAATGAGGCTCCATATTCTTATTTAGTAGTTAGACTATTATAATAGGATTGAGATTAGAATATTCTTCCTAAAGATCTCTAGCTTGATAAGGTCCTAATCAGTCTAGGTCAGGCAGCCTAGTTTGAAAGCTAAGGAATCAATAAGATTACCTCCTGGGGTCAGTTTAGTTCCATGATTCTTTGCCAAGGTGTCAGAAAGAACCTGGGCACGAGATGCCCCTCTAAAAATTCCTGGTAGTCAATGAGTTGACAGTTGGAATTCAGGAATGGTGTCCTAAATCATGAAAAATGGGCATTAGGAATGAGAGTTGAGACTGTGCCATTTCTTGTAAGCCTGTGGCCTGGATTCCATTAGGCTCAATGCCTGGATATCCCACAGGCACCTCAAAACTCATCATTTGTCAGACTGAACTCATCATCTTTCCCCTCCCCCAAACCTGTTCCTCTCTTCATATTTCCTATTTTGGTAGATGGCAACATTATCCATCTCAGCACCCTATTTAGGCTCTCTGGCTCCTCCATCTTGTTCTTCAACCACGTTAAATCAATCACAAAGTCCTGTTGATTTTAACTCCTAAGTTCCTCCTGCCTCTGCTTTCTCTTCTACACGCTTACCTCAGCTACCTGGTTTAGACTCTTATCATTGCCCACCTGGACCAGTCTCTTAACTATCTCATTGCGTCTAGTCTCAGCCCTTTTTTGCTCTCCTGCAATCCATTCTCCACAGAGCTGCCCAAAACCAATAAGACCATATTATTCCTTTTCTGTAAATCTTTTAATAACTCTCCATTGCCTACAGGACAAAGTCTAACCTCTTTAGGATGGCATAAGTAGCCATTTGTGAATTTGACCTTTTTAATTTTTACTTTCATCTCCTGTCACTCTTCCTCAGATGCCTTAAGCATCAGTCATACTGAGCTACTAAGAGTATACTTAATTGGGCTGCATTTTCCCAGGTCTCCAAGCCTTTGTGCATGCTATTCTGTCTGCTTAAAATGATTTTCCTTTTCTGCTCCGCCTTTTCTTTTCTGGATGTTTGTTTATCCTTTAAGGTCTAGCTCAAGTATTTTCTGCGTAAGAAAAGATTAGGTGTCTTTCCTCTGAAATTCAACAGCTTACCTCTTACATCACGGCTTTCATTGTATTGGGACTGTTGGTATACATGTCTGTATCCTCTACTGGATTCTAGGCTTCTGGTGGGCAGACTGTCTTATTAATGTCTGTATGTTTAGCCCCAACACAGTACTTGGCACACAGTGTAAGTTCAGTAAATGTTTGTTGAATGAAGGATGAAGCCAAGCACCGAAGTATGAAATGTATACCAGGCTCCAAACTGTCTTTTTTTAAATTCCCCAGTTGTTTAATCTTTCTAGTCCAATTAGTATGATTCATAGAGCCAAAGAAATCAATAAAAAATCAAGTTTCCTCATCATAGGCTTGCTGTCAATTGTGACTGCCCACAGCATCAGGGCAGGGCGACCTCCTCAGTGGAGGCTAGGCAAATCCTCAAGAAGCCATATCACTGGACAGTGTTTCTAAGGGCTCATGATACTGCTTTTCCTTTTGTTTCTGGGAATAGTATAAATAGTGACCCTTGTCGATCCCTAGGCACATGCTTTATTTAGTGTAGAAGAGCGTCACCCTGCTCCTATCCAAAGAATAGGAGAGTGTCAGCCCTCAGGCTATGGAGGAGGGGGTGGGTCTGAAATTGTACCACTTTGCTTCAGCTTAGCCCTTCTCATAGAGATCTCACACTATCCTATATGATGGTCTCTCTCTCTCCCACAAGTAATCCTGTAAAGGAACACCCTATGAGTTTGCCCCAGCATAGTCTTTACTCCAGGGGGCAGAGGGCTAAGCTACTTTATCGTTTTGTCCTTGCTAGATTTATTTAGTGCTGGAATAGGCACAGATACAGTTTTCCATAGCTGGTTAGCAAGTTATTTATGATTCACTCAGGCCACTGGCAGGAACACAGTCAGTTTGCCAAATCTCAAATCCTTTCATCGGACAGGGATGACTTATACAAGTCAAACTGAAATGTAGTGTAAATGTTTTATTCTAATTTACATAATCTCATAATTTGCACCTTTTCAAGTTTCACTAGAATTCCTCTGTTGTTATTACAATTTTCTGAGTTCTGGCTGAATTTCCAACAACATTCTCTTTCTCAGAAGTGCTTAGTGTATCTGTTGACCTTTTACTATGGACCTATCTATGGAAGATAGAAGTCTCTATTTATTAAAAAAAAGTAGATTTTGCTTAGCATCTTTCTTAGAGGGGCTTAGGCCTGCTATAGCAGGCTTTTAGGAATTCCTACAGAAGGTATCATTAAATGCTTAGTGAGCTGATGTCAAATAGCGGAAGTAGCTATGCTAATCTGCCTCTTGTAAAGCCCTGATTTCTTGGGGATAAGATAGAGTTGGTCATGATTCTTACTAAGGCCCAGCAAGTTTTAAAAAATTGTTGCTGCTGGTGCTGAAGTACAATAACCATTGTACTAGAATGTATTGATTTCCTGCCACTGGCAACATTTCCTCCTGATCCCTAGAAAAGACTAATAGAATTGTGTATGCCAATGGAACCAAGCCCAACAAAGTGGTCTTTTCTGGAAACTTACATGATCCTTATTAATCAACTAGAGCGTGAATGTTATGGTAATGAAGGAGGACGAAGAGGGTAAGAAGTTATGTTTTACTCTAGGGAAAAACATTTTAAAGTCAGGAACTATTGAGGCCCAGGCTTTGATCTATAGTCTGGTTTTCATAGATGAAAGATAGTATCTGATGGTCTTATATTGCTTTTAGTATTAAGAAGAAGTAAGACAGGTCAAAAAGATGGGCACTGTAGGATTCTGTTACACTGTGCTATGCTAACTGCATCTCTAGTTCTATAATTTCCTAAAATTTCTTTATCTCTGTGTTCTAGGCAGTACTACTTGAAGTGTGATCTATGGATTGGCAGCATCATTATCAGCTGAGAGGTGGTTAGAAATGCAATTCTCCAGTCTCCTTCCCAGATCTACTGACTCAGCATTTCTGGGGTGTGGCTCCAGACATCTATTTTAATAAGCTCTCCAAGAGATTCTTATGTACATTAAAGTTTGAGAAGCACTATTCTTGGGTATCATATCTTAAAGTATGTTTTCTATGGGTTTTTAATAGGTGCTATGCCAAAAATGATTCCAGTCATTGTCAAATGAACTTGGAAAATGCTGGGTTAAACAAAGTTAAGCTTTTTATTTTTTATTTTTTTTTTGTGAGGGGGTACTACTGGATTTTTCAGAGCTTTTAGTATGTTATTCTACTGCTCAGAATTCTCCTTTGGATTCCCAATACACTTAAAGTAAAATCCAAAGTCCTTATCATGGCTATGCGGCCTTGCATGATCTGGCCCCTGTTGACTCTGTGATCTCATTTCCTGTCTTTGTTGCTCTTGCTTACTACACTCCACCTACGCTGATCTCTTAGCTATGCACACTCTTACTTTGAGGCCTTTGCACTTGCTGTTCCCATTGCGTGGAAATCTCAGGTCTCTGCTCAAATCTGTCTTCTTCAGAGAAGACTTCCCAGGTCATCCTCTCCAAAATTGTAGCTCCTGTCACTTCACTCTAGTCTCTTACTTTGATTTATTTTTCTTCATAGCCTTCACTACTGTCTGGCGTTTACAATATTATTGTTTGTTGATTGGTTTACTATTTGTCTCCCCAGCTAGAATTTAAGTTCCATGAGGAGTTTGTTCATTGCTGATTCTTCAGTACCTGGAATAGTGCCTGGCACTTAGTAGGTTACGTAATAAATATTGGTGAATTATGAACAAATTAATGCAGAGAAGAAATTGTAAAATAGAGAGTAACAACAGAAGGACAAAGTGTGGCTGCTCCAGAAGAGTACATGAGCCTCTCAGAAAGCAGGATAGAGAGGATACTTGCAGGGCTTGGTCCTCCAGGGTCTTGGGAGTCAGGTACTGTTGTGATTGATACCAAACCATTGGTTCTTCCCACCAAGGCCATTGAGGCATGGGGAAATGAATTTCATGTATTTTGGCCTGTAATCATGGAACACTCACGACCATTTCACACAGAATGGACTCCTGGTTAGCTCTCCAATGAAGTGTTTTCCTTAGTTCTTTTCCCTGTCAATTATCTATCCGTGGAAAATCATTCACTTTCATGGCTTCAGCTGTTGTAAGTAGACACTAGCCAAATTTCTGTGTTGATACCTTTCTCTCCTGCATTTCTCCTGCCACTTGGACATGTCCACTTGGATGTTGAATCAGCACCTTCAAACTCAAGATTTTCAGAGCTAAAAGCATTACTTTCTTCCCCAAACCATTTTCATCTCTGATTTCCTTACTTTTGGTAGTGGCAGCAACATCTTCACAGTCTTTGAGGCTGAAAACAATGGGGGCACTCTAGAAGTCTCTAGACTTCACCTTTTCTCATTCAAACAGGTGCCCACTCTTGTCAATTGCTCCCAATGTTTCTTACGTCTGTATGTGTTTCCTTTTGTTTTGTTTCTACCCTAATGCTAGACTATTATAACAACCTCTGAACTATCCCCCTAATCCTGCTTCCAGTCCCTCTTAAATAGATTCCTTAGTCTAACTCTTAAGGTACTGCCAATATGGCAAGAGCTAGTGTGTACAGCTTTATATCCACTATTTCCTCATCATTTCTTTGGTCTAACCAAACTGGACCACTTGTTTCTTTCCTGACTCTTTCTGAGTTCTTCTGTTCTCATGTCTTTGCGAATTCAGCTCCCCCCGACAAGAAAGTTTTCTTTATCATCCATGTTTGTTAACATCCTGTCTCACATCAAATATTCTCTCCTCCAAGGCAGCTTTGTGATATCTTCTTTGAGAACATGTGCTTTCTTTTCTTCTTTCAGTATCATTTAATATGATTTTGGCACATTTGATGTCATTCAATAATAATTTGTATTATTATTTTACTCCTATCACTGTACTGAAAGTCCCTTGAGCGCAGAGCCTTTGTCTTACTCATCTCTGAATCTCCACAGTAAGCACCCAGTGTATACTTATTGACTTGAATTGAAATACCTTGACCCAAACTATATTTTGTAATTTCATATATTTAGCAATGCAGTTAAAGCATGGACTAATAATGTTTGGATGGGGATCTCGTTAAATGGTTACATTCACATCCAGATCTCTTGGGGGTGGTATGGCCAATGCTATTAATCATTTGACACAGAAAATGTGCAGAAAGGTTAAGTAATTGCCAGTACCACACAATAGGGGACCTAGGACTCTCAAGTCCCAGTCTACAAGTCTGATTCAGCTAAGTTTCCCTCCTCTGGAAAATAACAATTGCTGTTCATTAGCTTTTGGACATCTGAACTGCTTGGAGCAAGGGAACTGAGAGGCTTAATCCATTTAACCTCAAAGGATAAATTCAGATTCAGATGGCCAGGTCTCAAAATGAGACATCAGGCAGTTGCCTTGTCTGCTTCTAAATCTGGTGGCTGGGGAGCAATCCAAAGAGTCTGCCTTCATTCTGCACACCCAGTCACTCACCCTCCCGTAAATCCTACAATTCATTTGAACTGACGGAACTCTTGCTAATTGCCTCTTATTGCCCTGTTACAAGATGAAGCATGGGGAAGAGACAAAGCCTTCCTATTCGCATTTCCAGTGGGCAGCAGGGGTCTCCGCAAAAATAGAGAAACTGGGGCCTAGGCTATTCATTTTTGAAAGTCAGGACTAGATTTTCTACCATTCAGAATCTACATTATAATCACAATCCTGGGAGACGCTGTCATTTCTCAAATGGTCTGCTAGAAATTTAGAGTCTATTTAATATAGTCTATTTAATAAAGCAGCACTACATAAAGTTATAGACTTTTTTTCCCTTCAAAGTGATACACATTCTACATTTTAATTTCAGTATTTTTCTTTTTCCCAGTTAGAGGAAAGAGAGAGAACGAGAGAGAGAGAAAGAGAGAAGGGGCAATGCTTTTCATGAAAACATCAGTTCTTGTATTTATGTTTTAAGAAAGCAAAGGGCAGGCAAGAACTGCAGCCTGATAACTGAACTTTCTGTTTAGAATTCCCTCCTTTCCATTGGGCCTTAGCTAGGTTTCAATAATTATTGCTCAGGCACATAGTCTTGGAGCTTTGCTTTCTCTCAGACTTGTACACAGTTCTAGGAAGGGTTGTTGCCAAAGCCATCATGTGATTTATTGACCCTCCACTGGGACAAGGGGGAACAGATATAACTTTGTGATTTTATTATAAGGAGGCTGGGTTAATATTTCTAGGTGAAACAAGCTACTATACCAAGTTCAAACATCTGAAGAGGGAGGTTAAGAAACCCTGAGTGTGGGGTGTAAGGATTATTCTGTCCTGGGGCTGTACAGACGTCGTCTGAGGCAGGGAGCAGGAGAAGAAAGGACACATTGTGACCCATTTCCAACACCTCCTGTGTGTAGAGGCGGAAGTTCCTTGCCTGCAGAGGGACACGCGCGGAGGAAAAATAGGAGAGTTACAACATGGCACTTACATAAACAACACCAAACTGGCATAAAACATCTAACAAAATTACAGGACTTCAAGCTTGGAATTTTTATACAACATAAATATTAGGGTTCAGCCCATTTAATAATGCTATATAAAATCAAGATTTAAGGCAGTAATGTTCCACATAAACTCTGAAAACAACGTTTATGCTTCTTATAAAAGCAGAAAATGATTGCATTCTGTGGGCTTTTCAAAATGATGAATATAATTACATGAAGCAACAAAAATGGATTGAATTAAAAATCCACTAGTTGCAATTTAAGTTGGTTAAGGGGGAAAAATGTAGTTTCTGGCCAAGGACTGAAAAAATTTTACAAGTATCCAAAAAAAAAAAAAAATGTTGTATGCAGTCTTAGGCAGTTAGGCAGCCTTCTCCCAACATGTATATGTAGCCCGAGAGTCACCAATGAAATATGAGCTGCTTCAAACCTGCTAAGCCCAAGAAACCTTTAATAGTATCTACTGTCACAAGTACAGCTAGCATTTTTTTTTTCTCCTCCTGAGTACATGGCCACCCCTGGAATAATCCGGCTGCTCCCCTCGTGTCTTTATGGCATCTTGTGCAATTTATTCTTCATCAGTGTTGACTTTTTTGAACTAGTCCTGCAGTATTGATTTACAATCAGAGCAGTACCCCAATGGAAGAGCACTCTTGAGTTGCTAATCTATCCCACTGCCTCCATGGATCAGAGGTCAATTCATGGTTGTCTCTCTGTTATTTAAAGAAAGCCAGTCACTCCTGTAATGATCTTCCTGTTTACAGGCTAAACTTGGTTCATTTTGTGTTTGTGTATAGGGATGGGGTGTGTGTGCGTGTGTGTGTGTTGGGTGGTGGTGGGGGTAGTGAACATAGGCCAAAAATAAAGAAAGAAAGAAAGAATTCAACCTAATGCTACATCATGTTAACTTACTAGACAGGGCCTAATAAACTTTTACTATTTTCTTCTATGCCAACAGTTTTTCTTGAAGTTGCTTATTAGTAGAGGTTAGGTTTGTACATTTTGGTTTAGATAAGACAATAATTTTGACAGTAAATTCTCTGTTTGTGGAAAGATAGCATGGCATAACCTTGGCCGTTGCTATAGATTATACTATCACTAGTCTTCCATTCTTAGATAATCTGTACATCTAATATACACTTATTTATTTATTCTCCTTGCTTCATGCTGTCCTGGAGCTTCGTGTCCTTCAAGTTGGACTAGCCAATGATTTTTCCTTGCTTGTCCAGACCACAGTGCAGTGGGGTCCAGGAACCTTGGAAGAAGTCAGTAAGGAGGAGCTAGAGGAAAGGGTCACAAGTGCAGTCTGTGTACTTGTAAACATCAAATTCAGAATGTGCATGGACATGCAAAGTGTTATTTAAATTAATGAAAATAAACTAATACATATATTTTTTACTTCTTGAGTTTTATGCCACAATGCAGTTTCCATTAGCCATAAAAAGAAGATAGAAATGGTAAGGACTAGTACCTGGTGTAGAGGTATATTGATCTGCTTAAGGAGAGCTTTCACTGCCATCTGGAGCTCGTAGAAGAACAATTGCATGGGGCAGTCAGAAGTATGATCCACACTTTCCATAGATTCAGAGCCAGAAATCTTTTGGACCCATTCCCACTCCTCTCTGTATGTTGAGTCAAGTTAAAATTAGAAATATAACAAAAGTTCAGAACACAGCTCAGAACATTTTTAGTGTATATGTCCAGAACCTGGATAACCAGGTTTTGGTGGTTAAAACTCGATGCAATTCATGAAATTTGAACTTTTTGCCACTCAAATGGAGTTTCAAATGAGCTTTTTCTAATTTAATCTTAGTTTACCTATCAAACCACATATACCTCAGAACAGCAGGTCTAATTTGTATGAATCAGTTTTTGAGATTGGAGCTTTGAAATATTTTGTAATAATTTCCTGACTGTCTTCCTTTTTTTCCCCCCCGAAGATCCCTTATAAGTTCTTAGACCCTACATTTACCACAGGGGCATTTTCTGGTTAATTCAGCAGTTGGGTAACCACAGGAGTCTAGTCCAACTCAGGCAACAAACCACATGGCACATTTCAACCCTGGCCTGTTGTAATTGTGGAGACTATTCTGGTTTCTTTCCCCTTCCAAAAGCTTGAGGAGAATCACAAACAGGAACACCAGACAATTCCAATAAAAGGAACCAGGGGACACACATCACTGCTTCCATCCTCCTTTCAAACCAGTCATCTGTGTCTTTATTCTGCATGCACTATAATCCTTCCTAATGAACTTTTCTAAATGTCATGCAGAAGGGAAGGGAAAAGAATGGTGGTGGGAGGAAAGCACATCTGGTTTGTCCCCCAAAGGCTGCTCTTCAAAAGGATCTTGAAAAGACCAAGGTAAAATGCCTCTTGGGCAACATTGTTTCCACAGGTATTTTAGCACAAGTCTCTAAACACATTCTCTTGGCCCAGTTTCTCCTTCGTTCTCCTTGGTCTAACTCTGCAGGGAGCAGCAATATGCTCTCAGGGGCAGGCTAGAGAGGAAAGGAAAGCCCTCCTGTCCAGGGATGGAAAGAGAGGAGGTGCTAACGTATGTTTCCACCCTCGTGAAAATCCTCTGAGGACTCTCCCCAATGGATTATACCAGCCAAGGGCTCCGATCTGTGGGTCAGAAAATGAAATTGATTATGACACGAACTTCTCATCAGAAAACACTCTCTTTTAACCAGCTACCCTCTTAGAAACGTTTCTAGTTTCAAGATATCTGTTTCATTTCAATTCTCACACTGGAAAAGAGTATGGAAAATCTACCCTTTATCCCAATGAGAGAAAAAAAAATTAAATCCTACTTCAATCTGGGCATACTGTTGGCTTCACAAATAATTGACATCTTTGAGAACCTGCTTGGGAACCTTTTCATTTCTCCCATCGCTGATACTGAACTAAATGAGAAGGTTCTGACTAGTACAAGTATACACAAAACCTACAGGACCACATTGCTAAAACAGTGTTTGTAATCAAATTGGAAAATAAATTACCGGTAGGAATGCCATGAAACATCTACCACTAAGTAATCAGTTTAGTCTATAAGGATGAGGGAGATGAAAGTGGTGGAGTGAAGGCTACTGGAATCTTTTGTAAAAATGAAATTTGGATCTTTGGCAGGGGGAAATTAGTTAGTATAACCACTAAAAGAATCTAAACCTTTAAGACACAATTCTAGAAAGTGGATGAAAGTAACCATTGCTGAACCAACCCACAAATGAGCCGTGCAACCTCTTGGGAAGGACTGAGGAGATAACTAATGTTGATTGTAGAAGTGACCACCAGATGGCAGACTTAAAGTCTGGGTGTAGTTAATAAGTGAAAGAATATGGCAGCTAGTGAGTTCTTTGAAGAAACCATCATAATCAAGATCATCATCATCTCCTTCATTGTCATCAAGTAGTATTTAATAAACATTGTGACATACTATAGTTAAAGCAAATCCCTTGGTTAAGCAAATCCATAGCTGTATCTAGAATCTGGGGATCTAATTTTGTACTCTGAAGCCTGATGAACTCTGGAGAGTTATTTTTCTTTTCTTATCTACTATTTCCTTTCCTTTTTTTTTCATGTTGAGCTCAATTCAGTTCATTTTAGTAAACTTTCAGAGGCCTGCTAGAGGGCTAGTTGTAAAGCTGAGCCAGATTACCAACATTGGGCAACTTTCCCAAAGCTAACAGGGTAATTCACCATAATGCCAAACCATAGAGCAGTTTCCAGAAGCTCAGGCTTTGGTACTTCTTTTCTTCCCTCAAGAGCTATAAAGAGTATAGGAAACATACAAAGTCCTTAGGCCAGAGGGTTAGGGGTGAGGAGCATGAGGGTAGGGGGGTCCTTTAAGATTAAGGAGAAATCAGTTGTTGTACCAGAACCCATTTTTCCACAAGTGATATTTTTTAAAAAATGACATTAGATTGTAAAGAAAAGAGATGGAAATAGCAATATTGAAAGAAAAGGGCATCTACTCATTAATCAGTTGAGCATCAGTGGTTACACCATGAATAGCACAGAGAAGAAAGTGAAAAGATAGTGCCCCCTTTAAATGTGCTCACTCCTTCCACCAACCAAAACCACAGGCCCTCCTTATTCTAATGTTAAAATGCAGCTCTGCCTGTGCTCCAGTGTCCTGGCCTCTGAGGACATCTCACTAGAGCAACTACACTGGGAAGTAACACTTCAGTTTCCTTCTGGCACATCAAACCTATCACTTGAGCCATTGTTTCATCATGAGGAAAACTGAAACTCCTACAACTTACTTGGAAATGTTATTATTTTCACGGATCTTCACATGGCAGAGAATGTTGGGCAACTTTTGGGTAACGAGAACTTTGATCTGATCCACAGAGCTACAGAGCTTTAGGTAACCCAGATATAATCCAGGAGAGAGACGCTGATGACTCCTTTTGTGATAGGAGAGAATATCCTGTAGGGTGAAAAAAACAAAAGCCAAAAACAGCTTGAAAGGCAATCTCAAAACCTTTTCCTTTTTTAGGTGTGCCATGTCATGAATTAAAGGAGCTATAGTAAATAATACGGTGAGAAACCTCAAATACCACCATAAACGTTGAGGATGTGTTGGCGGTATAACCAGTCTTTCTGGAGAATTATCCTGCAAGTCAGGTAATCAGTCACTAACATATTCTGTGTGCTTATTTTCCTCAGATTTCTGTGCTGGGGTAGGTATGTGGGTTGTGATTGGGAATGGGCTGGTGGTGGTGGAGATGGGTACTAGAGAAAAACAGAATTCATAATTTCTGTTCTTGGAGATCTTATTGTTTAGCTGGGGGAAAAAGGAAATTTGAAAGTATAAAAGCTGACAAAGCAGTACAGGAAGGGTCATTATTTCAGGAAAATTGGTATCAAGAGTAGTCTTTTAAATTTAAAATAGGATCAAAATATTATAGTAAGTAGGAAAAAAAATTTGATTATCTTGAAAAATGAAACAAAAAGGAATAGCAATAGATTTACCTTATATTATTAACATTTAAGTTGTAGTTATAATTATTAACTAATTCTGAGAATGAAGAGAATAAACTATTGATTATTTTTTTGGCTTAATTTTTTAGACTAAATTGTATGATAGTTGAAATGCTGTTCCTCATATTGATTTTCGCAATGTGATCAAGAGGAAATATTTGCAAGAGTATTTGAAGGCTTCATATATTTTATTTTCCTTGCATCTTTTAAAATTTTGATATTCAAGTCATTTTCTTATAAAGTTCTTGTTCATTTTATGTTCCTCAGTTGTTAACTGATCTACCACTGCTAGATTCTCAATTGTTGGTAGCTTGGCATGTGATTTGATTAGATCTCCACATCATCTTCATCAGCTTCACAAAATTCTGTATCTTTTACAAGATTTTAAAGTTTACCTTGTAATAGATTTGCATTGAATTTGCATTGTATTGTCATATCACAATATTCCACAGGCAGCAGAGACTGAATGAAGTTGTTGGTGCAACAAGAAGTGCCAACCTAATTAAGCACAGAGGGATGTTTGTGTGGAATTTTGTTTTATATGTGGCCAGTTCTCTAGTGAACTATTTAGGTTATGACTTTTGTTTCCCTATTATATGACTGCAGGAACTCAGATAATGAATAATTGGAAATACAGACCCTCCCCCCCTCCCCCCCCCATGTCAGTAGGTAAGACTTTTAAACATTTGGGCAGTGCAGGGGTGAAACAGAGTTAGGAGTGATGAGTCAGGTAACTGATTAGAAGGGAAGAATTCCTACAGGCCAGAGTTTAGCCTGTTTTTTAAAAGTGGGTTAAAAAGAGGGAATCAACTCTACCACTAAATGTATGGAAGGTGAAAAGGAAGAAAAAAACCAACATTTAAACTTGTACAGAATTCTGTATGGAACAGAGAAGTATGAGACCTTCCTTAACCACTATACTCTGAAGAAGTGATCCCTCCTCTGTAGAATTAACGATCTACAACATCTGACATATGCTATTGTGTATTGTCTCCTCTGTCCCATCCTTTATCAAACATATTGAATTCCTGTGATGTGCCAGGTACTACCAGGAGACATTGGGGTTTCAGGTGAACATGATATGATCCCTACTTTTGGAGAGGTCAAGAAACACAGATGAGGAAACAAATGATCACAGTATGTATACTGAAATCGGTTTTATAATAGAGGCAATGTAGGCAAGCAGAGGAAGGAGAACCTAACATATTTTTCTTCTTTTGTGTTCTTTTCTTGAACTAGACTATGAAAGTAATGACAGTGCTGTGTTTTTTTATTGCTTTATGTCCTTAGTGTACCCAGTACTATTTCTGTATGTAATAGGTATACAACATATGGAAATCAGGCTAGGTCTCTAAAACAGAACATATGAGAACAGCAGAAGAGGTACAAAATAAGAATGATCACAATTGGGAGAAAGACATAACTAGCATGTCCAGAAAAGCAAAGGCTAAACAAATTTTAGGATATTTGGCCAAAAAATAGACTAGAAAATATTTGATTTCATGATCAAGAAGGAAGGAATTCTTATTAATATCAGGATATTGATAAGGCTGAACTTTTTAATACTGTCTCTTCAGAACTGATCACAGGTAAGTTGTGGATCAGAGGAAGTTTAGTCAAGGTGAAATTTTGAGAAATGAACAGGTAATCAAAGAAAAGAGAGAAGGAAAAATGGAAGTATTCAGATCAGCAGAATTTGATAATATGTACCCTAGGGGTACTTGCTGTACAAGCAGATGTGGCTACAGACCCACAGATCGTTATTTTTAAGAAGTGATGGAGAACTGGAAAAGTCCCTAAAGACTTGAAAAGGGCAAATATGCCTATCTTTGAAACAGAAAGAGGAGAAACACAGGATGACTCTAGTAATTAAAGACTGCCAACTTATTGATCTTTGGGAAAAATGAGAAAGAACCATCAAACAATCAATTTGCTGTCACTCAGGAAATTCTGAGATTCTAAATACAGTCAACATGGTTTTGTGGAGGGAAAATCACACAGACAACTTCAATTTCTAACAGCAAAAGACCATGATCTGCAGACCAGGGAGAAATCTCCAGTGTAATCTGTTTCACTAGATAATCTGGGAAAAGTAGAGTTTTGACCACATTACTTTTATAGGCTGGATATTGAGGCTAAAGATTTGTGGATGGTAGAGATAGTGTGGGAATAGTAGACATATTGAGTGATGATCCAGTAGGGACTGGTCCTGGGGGCCATTCTGTTCAGCTTATGCATTGATGTTCCAGACAAAGAAATGAAAAATGTGTGTATCAAATTTGTGGGTCCCAAATTTTGTGTGGTTTTGATTTTCTGCAAAATAGTAATAAGGCTCTGATTGACCCTATGCATTGGAAAACTAAGCCTATCATAATTAAGGCTGAAACCTAATAGGAAAATGTGCTTGTAAAGACTCAAACCCAAGAGTACAAATATAGGATGGGTATGAGTATAAAAGAAAAACATGTGAGGGCCAGAACTGACCACAAATAGAATGTGAGCTAGGAACATACTGTGGTTATGTAAAAACCAACCCCATTCTGGGATGGAGTAATTCACTCTTTCATTCAAATTTTTTTTAAGACTATTACTGAGCATCTACTATGTGTTTTCCTGCCTTTACATAGTCATTTGATCTTTCATTAGTCAGAATGTTTTGGAGCCCGAGAAATACATGGGAAGAGAAAGAGGCTGTCCCATTCACATAATCTGAGGTACACTAGATGGGCCTCCTAAACTAAAGCAAAGGCTTGTGGGTTTATATATAGCCTGACTTGACCTCTAACTTGCATTTCTAGCCTCTACTTTCACTGTAGCCCTTTTGTGTCTCTTATCTCCAGCCAAAATGGATTGCTTTTCCTTCCCTGTACCTTACCTAATCTCTCTTTTATTTTTTTGTTGGTTCATGAATTCACTGATTCTACCGACTTTTATTGAGCACCTACTATGTATCAGGCATTGTGCTAGGATATTAATGACATCAAGATGAATAAGACATGATCCTTCCCTTCATGGAACTCACATTAGTGTGTGAGAGAGACACGCAAGCAAGTTTTTCTAACCCAGCGTGATAAAGGCCATAAGAAGGATGTGTAAGGTCCATTGTGGACCCAAGGGAGGGTGAGATCTACTCTTCCAGATTCTGTGTCATTTCTCTACCATGCCTTCTATTTAATTTAATTCTATTTAATTCCTCCCTCCCTCCCTCCCTTCCTCCTTCCTTCCCACCTTCCTTTCTTCCTATTCTCCCCTCCCTCTTTCTCTCTTCCCTCTCCTGTCTCTTTTTGTCTCTCTTTTTTCCTCCACCTGGTGACCTTAATTTACCCTTCATGGCTCAGTCAAATGTCACCTCTTCTACAATACCTTCCCTGATATTTCCAGGTAGAATTACTAGCTGCTTTGTCTGTGTTTCCATAGTACACTGTTTGTGCTGCTATCAGGGCTCTAGTTTAATTCTGCCTTGTATTACCTTGATTTGTTTACAAGTCTGTCTCCCTGCCTTGACTCAGCTCCTTGAGAGCAGGGACCTTGACTTGTTCATTTGTTTTTCCCATAGCACCTAGAAGAGTTCCTGGCACTTAGCTGGTGCTGAAAAAATGTTTATTAAATATGAAGTGAGAGGCCCAGAGGTAGTGGGGTCTGGGGCTGGGCCTCTGGGAGAGAATATGCTGTGCTGGTGCAGTAACTAGGAAGGGTATATCCAACCTCTCTTTTGTGATCAGATATCCTAAGAGCTTGCTAGAGGAACAATTTATAGTTGCTTTTCCAGTAACTACAGGGCTTTTGTTTTGCTGGATAGGGGATTCAAGCTGAATTATCTAGAGACAGCAGAGATCATAAAATGGTGGCTGGTGGTCTTTGTGGGCCCGAAATTATATCGATTGCAAATAACTTACAGTTTCTGAATTATTTTCTAACTTTTAAAAATAAAGAGATTTTATTCAGAACTCTGGATTCAGTTTCTCTTTAAAATTCAGTTTCTCTTTAAAAATTGGGAAATATTTCAAGATTGGGACCACTTTCTTCCACTGCAGTTAGCTCAGGCTGAATAGGGATGTTCTTTTGATGAGACAAGAGCTCTCCATATTACTACAGTCTCTATTATTTCCACTTGTTTCTTTTTTTTAATTGGGATATAATTCACATACCATAAAATTCAACCTTTTAAAGTGTGAAATTCAGTACTTTTTACTATATTCACAAGGTTGTGCAACTATTATCACTATCTAATTCCAGACCATTTTCATCATTCCACAAAGAAACCTTGCATTCATTAGCTGTCATTCCCCAGTTCCTCCTCCCTCTGCCCCTGGAACCACTCATCTGCTTTCTATCTCTGGATTTGCCTATTCTAGATATTTCATATAAATGGAATCATACAATATATGTGGCATTTTGCAACTGGCCTCTTTCACTTGTGAGCATAGTGTTTTCAAGGTTCATCCACATGGTAGCATGGATCAGTACTTCATTCATTTTTATGACTGAATGATATTCCATTATATGGATATGCCACTTTTGTTTATCCATTTCTCAGTTGTTGGACATTTAGGTTGTTTCCACTCTTTGGCTACTATGAATAATTCTGCTGTGAACATTGGTGAACAAGTTTTTAGGCAAACCCAGTTGTTTCTCATGTCTAGCCCAACTGGCATATTTCCATTAATATTTCTGATTCCTATAGTCTTTGATCCCCATGTTAGAGGTTGCTTGGGGATAGAAAGAGCAGGAATGTACTGGAAGAAAAGCAGAAAAGGGCAGAATAGACAGCAGGTCCTGGGCATCTAGGGTATAAGAAGAAGACACTGGGTCCCTGGAGGTAATAAGGAATGCCGAAGGAGAAAAAGAGAAGGAAAGCAGGGATGAGAGGGGGTAGAAGACTGACTTTACCACAACTTCTCTAGGATCACACTTGTTTTGTTTTGTTTTGTTTGTTTTTGAGGAAGATTAGCCCTGAGCTAACATCTGTTGCCAATCCTCCTCTTTTTGCTGAAGAAGATTGGTCCTGAACTAACTTCCATGCCCATCTTCCCCTACTTTATATGTGGGATGCCTACCACAGCATGGCTTGCCAAGTGGTGCTTGCCAAGTGGTGCCATGTCCGCACCTGGGATCCGAACCGGCGAACCCCGGACCACCAAAGTAGAATGTGTGCTCTTAACCACTGCGCCACTGGGCTGGCCCCTGGGATCACACTTAAAAAAGGATCCAGAGAAAAGGAGAGGGAGGGTGTGTCAAGCAGCATGGTAGAATGGGAAGAGCACCAGGCTAGGAGTCAGAAGACTAGTCCCTCCTGTGCTGCTTTTGGCTGAGATGACTTTGATGAGTTATTTCCATAAAATCCATGGCTTCATCAGTTAACTGGACACAATAAAATTTCCTACTCAGCCTTACTATTGGGTTTTCGTGAGGATCAAATGATATCATAGATGTGAGGAAGTGTTATAAACTTGAAAATGTATTCCAAATGTGAGAGATTAATCTTCAGAGAAAACTTCACCTAAAGTTATTGAAGTGACCCCTGCAGATCATGGTCAGAGTAACTCAGCACCTGAGTGGGGCCTCCCTATTGGAAATACTCTGCCAATTAGTTTGCTCACAGGGACTCTAACTTGTCCATAATAACTCTCTTTTTCTTCCCAGGCAAGTGTGGGAAGGATTTCTCTCTCTCTTCCAGATAGATGAGAGAGGCCTGTTATGAAAGTCTGGGACTTGAGAGGGTCAGGAATTTGAGAGGGTTAGACTCTGGAGCTTTCTGGGGCCCCAGGGATTAGTAGATTAGTTATGGGCCCAGATATCTTAAAGCCCTTATCTGTTTTGAAAACCCCATTGTGGGTCATACAGTCTTTATACCACTTTTCCTTAGTTCTCATGGAAAGGTAGAGGAAGTGATAAAATGCCCCAAAGGATGATTGAGCTAGTACCAGGGCCATCTCTTAGGAGAGCAGGGATGAGGAAGAGATGGACTGGGTGTACCCTGAGGTGAGCCTAGCATTGCTTGGGTTTTTCTAAGTAGAGAAATAATAAAAATCACTAACATTTATTGAGCACTCACTTTGTGCTACTTTTCTAATGCTTTATATATAACTCATTTAATCTTCATTAGAAACCTATAAATTAGGGTTGTTTTTCAGAGGAGAAAATATGAGAGCTGAGAAGTTAAGTAACTTACCTTATCCACATAACTAGAAAAGGTGGAGTCAGGAATCGTACCCAGTCAGCCTAATTCCAAAGTGGTGCCCCAGAATGTGGTGTGTTGTAGTAGAAAGAAGCCCAGACTTCCAATCAGAAAGCCTGGCGGTCATCATTCTACTGACCCTGAGAAAAGAGAGTGGTTTGTGGCCTAGAATTGTGGGAATTACCCAGCCTGCTTTGGGGAACCATCAAGACCTATCTATATTTTCATGTTGAATTGGTGGGGCCAGCTCCTGACACAATTAAATCTTAAGTCTAGGAGTGACTGGATACCAGCCCTAGTAGTTTTATTCCCTGTTTCCTCTCCAGTGTAAGACCTGTATGGGAAGGAGGTGAGAGAGAAAAGCTGGGGGAGTGGGGGTGGGTGGGTATGACATCAAGCAGGAATGTGCCAGTCAGCGGGGGTAAATTTTCCACTTGGATCTGTGTGGAAACCTGATCTTGCCTCTATTTTTGGTCTCCTTCTCTAACAACCTTTCGCCAGATTGGAATTTTTCTGCACCTGTAACACATTTTTAATGTAATAACTCTAGGAGAAACCAGGTATTATATCATGCTGGGGCCTGTGCTGTGTTTCTAGGAGCAAAGGTAGGCCAGACCCCAGTTTATCCCTATAGGGGATTAGTGTATTAGTCACCCTGTAAAAGCTCAATTTATTATGATTTTTTAAATGTTTCTTTTAGCACTTGCTTGTAAAAGGTGAAGAGGGGAGCCACGAATGTGTCTGTTCCCTGCCCCCACCTCCTTCACATACATACACACACACACCCTCTATCAATTTCATATGAACTCAAATTCCATAAAATCAAATCCAGAGGTATTGGCTTTGACCAATTAGCGTAGTTTTGTGACATTGGACTTTGTCCTGGCTTGGACCAGGACAAGTAATGGGAAGGTCACCAGCCACCCCTCAATAGGGAATGAAAGTAAGTTAGTGGTCTGGTGGCTTAGCTGTTTAGGGTGATTATGAGGGGCTCCCAGGGCCAAGGCTTGAATTTGGCTCATTTGTGCAGGACTGAGCCCTCTCTTTCCCATTACTCCAAATTGGCTGTTTTGTGGATAAATGCTATTGGTTGCACAGGGCTCAAGGTAGATGTTTCTGCCAGCTTTGCCACCTAACTGGAGAATTCTGTAAAACTCATCCTATCGCTGGATTTAAATAAAGGGAAGAAAAAAATAAAAAGAAATAGCACAACCAGAAGGACCTACAACTAAAATATACAACTATGTACTAGGGGGTTTTGGGGAGAAGAAGGAAAAAAGAAAAAGAAAAAGAAACAGCTTGAAACCTATGTTCACATGAGAACATGTGAGGCAGTGTGGCGGCATGTAGAGAGCACTGGACTCAAGAGAAGAAGATGTGGGTTTGTATCTGGGTTCTGCCATCTCGGCTGAGTCTGGACCTAAGCTGCCTGAATTTTGAATTTTGGTGGCTATTGGGTTCTTAGGTGAGTCTTTCATCCTTTATTTCATCTCCCATCCGTCACTGACTAAAATCCTAACTCCTGCCCTGGAATGTGTTGTAACATAGCAGAAAGAAGTCTACTTCTCATCAGAAGATCTGAGTTCAAGTTTCAGCTCTGCCATTTTCTAGCTGTGTGCCCAGGGGCAAATCCAAGTTTTGGGGGGTCTGAAGCTAATACAATTTTCGATGCCTTCTTTAAGGAGAAGAATACAAAATTATGAATGTGAAATTGATAGGGTCCTTGCCACTGCCTTGTGCAAGTGAAGAACTGAATGATGCTGAAGTTTCATTAGCTTCACTAAATCTGCCTATGTCACTTGCTCTCTTTGAGCCTCAGTTATTTCATTCCTAAAATGAATTTAATCATGCCTGTCTATCCCAGGGGATATTAGAAGGAACAAGCAAGAGTAAATATATGTAAGAGTGTTTTTTTTCAAAATGTTTTAATATATATGTGCATGCAACCAATATATATATATTTGGTTTTGGTTCCATCAAGTTGATTCTGACTCCTAGCCACCCTGTGTATAATAGAGTGGAACTCTGCCCAGTGTTTTTGCTCTGGTTGCCACAGTATGATAGGCAACAGACAGATGGTGTAGTTCCCTGATAGAGAAACGAACCCAGGCCATGGTGGTGAGAGCACCGAATCTTAACCACTAGATCACCAGGACTGGCTGTATATATGTATATACATTAAACCAATACCTGAATGGACTGTAATAATAATAATACATTTCTAGACTGTATATATGTATCAGTAAATCCCTTACTCAAACATTTGTCTCACTGTTTTTCATTGGTTCATTGGTCAGGGGCATTTTTAGGGTGCTTACTTCTTGTATTGCTTCATGAATTCTAGATCTGGAGAGTGATAAATAAAAATAAGCTTGTGAATCTTTCCTATGTGTGGAATACAAGCAATGACATGTCTCCAGACCTCTCCACTCTATCACTACATATGTAAATGGCTCTTGATATATTTCACTAGAGCCTCAGCAAGTGTGTTTGGAACTTCAAATATATTAGGAAATTGAAAAGACTACATACCTGGATGGTTATCAGTAAAATGTCTAAGGCTGTTGGCTCCTCTGGCGTTGACAGAGATTTCCTCTGGCTTTGCAGCTTTGAAATCTGCATCCATTTGCCATTAAAAAATGAATAGAGCATCTCCACCTCTCTGATGGTGACTATGAGGATGTTTCCATGCCGGTCTTTAATGGGTTCATAGTAAACTCTTCCCAGGTTGTGTGTTCCAAGTAAATTCTAGAAACAAATAGATTTCTGATAGCTTAGATGATGCTATGCAAACAAAGCAACATAACTGCAACAGAAGACACTGGGGATAATTGTCTGATGTTTCTGAGAAGCTTTTTTTTTTTTTTTAAAGCAGACTTAAAGCTAGAATATGTGGCATTACAGAAATGTACTTAACAGAAGCTCAGAGAAAATGTCTTCATCATAAGCCTGCAAAGATTATAGCAAGAGGCACAAAAATTATGTTTTTTTAAGCAAATTCAATATCTGTAAATATCTCTTACCCACATAGACACACCAGCACATAAACCTCAGTTACCAGTACTTGAAGAGAATCCCAGATGTTTTAAAGAAAAATGCCTGATATTTCAAGTATGCTACTTGTGGAGTTTTCAAGAGATCTACAGTAAGCTTATGGTATGAAGAGTGGTTGCTTGAAATGAAGAAGTGAATTGACAATGTAGCACATTGTACAGGTCCCCGAATAACTGCATATTCCTTTCAAGACCCTTTAATTGGGAGATTGGCTTGGTTTGACTTATCTACCTTTCAGGGGGTTGTATTTATTTAGAATTTTGTTAAGATAGTTTGTGAGCTAGGTCACGTGAGGCAGACAATACTTTTAGAAAGGCAGAAAGAGAATGATGCCACGTTAAATGTGGAGGGGCCCAGGTTGATGCTATTAAAATAAACAGAGTTTTACAAATATGCAGGGTTTTAAGATTTCTAACCTAGAGCACTGGATGAATAGGACAAAACGCCCTTTTCCTTTAAATATATATGATTTTTAAAAATTATAAATCATCTCAGAGCTCCTAGGTGTTATTTTCGTGAGCTCACGTAAATGCTGATGAGATAACCTGTTAGCAGGAGAGCAAAATTAGAACTGGAATTTGTAAAAGTGACAAAGATGACCTAAAAGTGAATGAGTCTGCTGGTTATTATCTACATCTATGAAAACTCCAGAATGTTCCCTCACAGGAAGGGACTGTGTCTTAAATCTTTTATTTTTTCTCACAAGGGCGAGACACATAAGTAAGAAATTTCCTAAATAATTGTTGACATATTATAAAAATTCATTTGGCAGGATTACTATCTTTAAAAATGGCCTAATCACTCAGGTTATTCCTTTCCAATAATTGACTTCTGAATCATAGAGAAGTAATTGGGCAAGGCTTTTAGTCCAGCCCTATGTGGCACTACAGTTTTATATAAAGGCAGTTTGCTACAAAGTAATATTGGCCAATAAGCAGTGGTATGCTGGTAAACTGGGTATCAAAAAAAAAAAAAATGATGTGATTTATAGCATATGCCAATTTCTGTGGTGTAAATATTCCTGCCATAGCCGCTTTCAAGCTACCAAGGATTTGACAACAGGCTTTCAAAATTCCTGAATATTTAACAGTTGGCTCTCCTGAGCCAGTTGGCTCCAGCACGCCACTGCTACTAAGCCTTTAGTTATCCTAGTGTTGAGTTTCAGGGCTGGCTGCTGTTCATTGTCTCTTAAACTTCTGAAATATTATTTACCCTCCCTTGCCCTGAGTTTCATCATCTAAAATTAAGGGTCTTTACAACTCAGACATCCCTTATGCTAATTCTTACCTTATAGGGTGTTTGGGGGATTAAGTCAACCAATGCCTGAGAAAGTGTTTTGTAAACTCTCAAGCTTGATACAGGCAGGGTATGGGCTTTCTTGCCTGCTCTAATTGGAATCCCACTCTGGCTCACACTTACTCATATTCAAGACTCAGACCAGGTTTCACCTTCTCTGGGAGGATTTTCCCAATTCTTTCAGGTAGAATTTACCATCTCCTCTTTTGTCCCCTACTGCTTCCTGTGTAAACTTGTATCTTAGCATGACTCTGGCTTTCCTACATATTGATGTACATGTCATGAGATCATGGTGGTTTTATCTCTGTGTCTCTGGGTTCCTTGCACAGTGCCTAGTATGTAGTAAGAGCTCAATAACTTTTTGTTGACTGCATTAACGTATTATCATTAGGACACTGTAAAATATGATTTACTTTGGACCAAAGCTAGTGAGTAGACATTGAATAAGGTGGTCATTTCATTTAAGCAGAGTTATTCTCAGTGGTTCACTGTCAACTTTGGATATGTTGATTAATGGGCTGAACAAGAAAGCACTAAAAGTCTTCCTGAAGTTCTTTATTGACATCAAATTTGTTTGGATAGCTAGCTCTGGGTTAAAAGCAGAATATCCTTGATAAAATAAATTTCAACTATGTTCTAGGGCCTAAAGGAAAAACAGATCATGTTAATACCTGCCATACTATGCAATTAAGGTTAGGAGATCTGGGAATCCTAAGGGTCCTACAAGGTAGAGAAGAATAAAACCAGCCAATGGCTTGCAGGAATGCATCTAGGGTATAACCAGAACAAATCACAGAACTGTCAGTAAGCCCCAGACAGATACACAATACTTAGAGACCTTTTTCAGTTTGGAAAGACATGGGAATTTGAAGGAAGTGCAGAGGAAAGATATGAGGGCCTGGAAAAAGAAAAATTTGGGGGAAACTTTTCTTCCCCCTCCTTGAAAAATGAAAAAGACATAGTATCCATAAATTGTTACCTTGGCTTTTACTTACTAACACTCATTTCTAAAAGCTATGGAGGAGAAAAGTTTAATGTAACTCAATTTACAGTGTCAGATTATTACTGTATTTTGAGAATAAGTAGTTCAGATACCTCTCAATATGAGAGCAACGTACACTTCTGTCTCTTGGGGCGTCTGCCATTTTCTTAAGAGTAGGAAAAATAATGTGGGGTCTTGGCCACTTAGAGGTTTTCTCATCTTATTATTTTTTTTAATCCAAATGCTGGCGGATACTTGTCTCTCCTCCTGCCTAGGTAATATTAATCAATTAATTAATTCATACTTTACCTTCTTTCCAATAAAATTTAAAACCACTTCTCCTAAATAGGCTCCAAATGATGCTGGATATACTTCTACTTTTTCTTTTTTAACTATAATGTGGATTATTTCCTCTATTTACATTTTTTGGCTGCTTTTTGTAGATAAACACACAATAAGATGATGAAGTATTGGAAAGAATGCAAGCTTTGAAGTTATATAGATCTGGATTTGTGTCTGGACTCTGTTACTTCCTATTTATGTGGCCTTGGGCAAGTTACTTAACCTTTCTGGGCCTCAGTTTTATCATTTGTTAAATGAATATCAATAATAGTACTTTCTTCTTAGGGTATGGTGACGATTAAATGAGATATAGTTTGTAAAGAACTTAGTACAGTGCCTGGCACCTATTCTGTTCAATAAATGGAAGTTGTTTTATGATTATTATTTATTATTATGTATTAAAGGACCTCAGTATAGAGCAGAAAATAAGGCACAGGATGCACAGTGGTTGGTATGCACTGTGATGAAGGTAAGTCAGGGTGGTATGGAAACAGAGGATGGGGAGAAAGATGGTGATGAAGGCTTTTGTGTGCCATGATAAAATGTCTAGGCCGCTCTTGAAAGGATATGAGTCCGATTCCCTAATGACATGGCCAGAATATTTATTTGCTACTATGGCAAAAGTGTGGAGAATGGATTGGAGGGTGTTAAGACTGGAAGCAGGAGGATGACTTTGAAGGCTTTTGTTGTACTAGAGTAATCAGGCAGAGGTAGTGATGCTGGAAAGGGGAAGAGACTAAAATATGATATACCAGAGGTAAAGCAACAGGATTTATGTATGGCTGTTGCCAATCAAGCTATTTAAGAATGCATTTTTACTTTTCTCAGGACATTGTAAAAATGTTAGATTAGTAAAGAGACCTAAAATATTAAGTATCAATTTTCCCAAATTTATTTTTCTTCCTCTTCCGAAAAGCTTTTGCTGTGCCGTGTCACTCTCGCTCCCCCTAAAAAATGTGGTTTCAGTATTTCCAGACATTTTCATTCTAAAGATCAGCAAATAGTTTGGGCAATAGGTCCTACAAAAAAAGATGAAAGTGACTCCTATTATTTAAGCAGACAAAGAGAAATGTGAATGGGAGAAGGGAATGCATGACAGTGCTCTCGCCTTTGATAGGCCCTGTAAGGGGTAACTGTTTATTGAGTAATATGAGACACTAATCACCACGCAGGTCTGGAGAACTATCCAGGTGGAACTATGGCATGAGGTATGTTTCTGTGATCCTTTTTCCCTTTGGTTAGATAGAGTACCCTCAAGTGTGATCTTTGAGGTACAGGGGTTGGACTGACAAATACATTTATTTATCCAACTCGTATTTACTGAGGGTCTACCACATGGCACACATGGAGGATGTAGTGGTAACCAAGGCAGATACATGCCTTGAGCTCAGGGACTCAAAATCCAAGTGGGTACCAACCAAATAGTGATACAAATAATTAACTAATAGTATTATGATCACTGTTCTGAATGAAGAATACAAGGTGCTATGAGAGTGATTCACTTAATCAGGAGATCAGAGAAAGGCTCTCTGAGGAAGTATACAAATTAAGCTAATATCTAAAGGATATGTAGGAATTAGCAATGGAAAGAAGTAGAAGAGGACTCTAAGCAGAGAAGACAGCATCTGCAAAGTGTGGAGTCATGGAAGCCAAGTGATGTGGCAATTTAAAAAAGGAGAGCAGGACCAAGTGTATCAAATGCTGGTGAGGTGTCAGTTGCAAAGAGGATTTAAAAGTGTCCATCGGATTTAGTGAAACTCAAGTCATTGGCAGGAATGGATCCAGGTTCTGTGGGGGCCTGCAGCATTCAATTTTGGGGCCCTCTTTAAGAGAAAGAATACAGAATTACAAATGTAAACATTAGGTGTAAAAGTGAATATTTATTTAGAATGAGAAGGGAAATCTCCTCAAATACTGGAGTATTTAGAATTTCCAGTCCCTTTGCCCCACTGAGATTTCTTTAGTCACTGTACTAGAAATGCTTCTTGATTGCAACCTCCCCACCTAAAACACTCTATGATTCCCACACTCAGAGGGGCTCATGTAAGTGAGGGGCCCTGAGGCACAAGCTTTATGAGCATCATCTGCCTCTGATTACTGGTGGCCTGAGAGAGCAGTTGGTAGGCATGGTGGTACCAAAGTCAGGGAGAAGACTGAGAACTAAATGGGAAATGAGGAAGTAAATGGAAAAGGAGAATGTAGGCAAACTCTTTAAAGAAGTTTGGGTCTAAGGAAGAGAAGAGAGAGAGTTTGGTAGCTGAATGGGCATGTAGGATCGAAGAAAGGCTTTGAGGGGAGGTTAAACTGGAGAGACGTGAGTATGTTTAAGTAAAGATGGGAGGGAAGGGGATCCAAAGCACATGTGGAGGGATGAGCCTTTGGTAGGAGGAGTGAGATTTTATTTATTGGAATAGGAGAGAAGAAAGAGAAAGTGGGGTCAAGGCAAGCAGGCTTTTAAACTTAGTGATAGAAAAATAATTAATTCCCACTTATTTTCTTAGTGAATTATACAGTGAAGTCATCACCTGATGTGGGGATGGAGAGTGTGTGGAAGGGGGAGGGATGTGGAAGAATGGAGGTTTCCTTATAGTTTGGGAAAGTGAATTTAGCAGGGAAATGGAACATTACATGTGAGAATTGTAGTCACGAATTTAATATAACATAACATAAAAGCAGTCAACTCTCTTTTTTGTGATTTTTCTGCAGCAATGTGCAACTACTTCAGTTTAGACAGTTGGATTCATCTGGGCTTTAGATTTTTTCAAATAAGTAATATGGAGGGAGACAGTGACCAGAAATTTAGAGTATTTTCAAGAGAATGATTCTGATGGGCTGAGGAATCTAAGCTAGACAAGCAGGGAAATGACCTCAGAAGTGGGCTGATGCACTATGAAAAGTGGTGGGGTGAATACATTGGGGGGCCAAGGAAATCCAAGAGTCACTGCAACTGGAGTAGTTGAGTAGGGCACACTGACCATCATATCTTCCCTCTAGCACCTCAACATCTAACTGCACTGGCTTGTGATAACCTGATTCTTCTCATGGTACTGACATCAGAGGAAAGTGTTCTAGGAAGCCTCCAATAAACATACAATAAAGAAGCCTACTTGAGATTCTAAGGTTATTCAGTTTGTGATCCAAGCATGTCTGGACTGAATGGTGGGCTAATGGGAGAGTTCACTAGGGAGTCTGAGTGTCCTGGGCAAGAACTTCACTAAGGGACCAAGGAGCCTCCTGGGAATGAACTTTATCCTACAGAAAGAGCAGGTTGAGGTACAGCAGCTTGGTCCAACTCAAGGTGGTCAGTGAGGAAGAGGTGCTTTGAATTCAGTACAGTCATCATGGCCCGGCTCTAAGAACTCCTCCTCGAGTTGAAGGAGAAGATTCTGCAATTAAGTGTAAGGTGAAATTATTTCCTTTGCCTTGAAGAAGCTTTTTAGTTTGATGTCTCATTTATTTTTCCTTTCGTTTCCCTTGCCTGAAGAGACGTATTCAAAAAGATGCTGCTAAGACGGATGCCAAAGACCATTCTGCGTATGTTTTCTTCTACGAGTTTTATGGTTTCAGGTCTTACAGTCAAGTCTTTAATCCATTTTGAGTTAATTTTTGTTTTTGGTGTAAGATAATGGTCTACTTTTATTCTTTTGCATGTGGTTGTCTAGTTTTCCCAGAAGCATTTGTTGAAAAGATTTTTCTTTCTCCATTGTATGTTCTTGGCTCCTTTGTCGAAAATTAGCTGCCCACAGATATGTGAATTTATTTGACAAAGTGAAAAGACAACATACAAATTGGGAGAACATATTTTCAAATCACATGCCCAATAAGAAAGTAATATCCAAAATATATTAAGAACTCATACAACTCAAAAACAAAAAAACAAACAACCTGATTGAAAAATGGGCAGAGGATCTGAACAGATATTTTCCAAAGAAGTCATACGAATGGCCAGTAGACAGAGGAAATGATGTTCAACATCACTGATTATTAGGGAAATGCAAATCAAAACTACAATGAGATATCACCTCACACCCATCAGAATGGCTATTATTAAAAAGATAAAAAATAACAAGTGTTGGAGAGGACATGGCGAAAAGGGAACCCTTGTACAGTGCTGGTGGGAATGTAAACTGGTGCAGCCACTATGGAAAACAATATGAAGATTCCTCAAAAAATTAAAAATAGAAATACAATGTGATTTAGCTATTTCACTTTTGGGTAGCTATCCAAAGCACATGAAAACACTAAATTGAAAAGATATATGCACCCCTATGCTTGTTGCAACATTATTCACAATAGCCAAGACTTGGAAGCAACTTAAGTGCCAATCAACAAATGAATGGATGAAGAAGATGTGGTACATATATATATATGTATATATACACACACATGCACACACAGTGGAATACCACTCAGCCATAAAAAATGAAATCTTGCCATTTACAACAATGTGGGTGGACCTTGATGGTATTATGCTAAGCAAAATAAAGCAGACGGAAAAGACAATTACCATATAACTTCACTCATGTGGAAGATAAACAAACAGACAAACACATAGATATGGAGAACAGATTGGTGGTTACCAGAGGGGAAGGGTTGAGGGGAGGGTGAAAGGGGTATAGGGGCACATGTGTACAGTAATGGATGGGAACTAGACTTGGTGGTGAACACAATGCAGTCTATACAGAAGCTGAAATATAATGATGTGCACCTGAAATTTATACAATGTTATAAATCAACATTACCGCAATAAAATCAATAAAAATCAATGTTACCTCAATAAAAGAAAAGAAGAGTAGGTTGAAATGGAGAGTGCTATTTGCTAAAATCTCTGAGGCCATTGAGGACACAAGACAGTAAACCGCCTAGGCAATGGAGTATAGCACAGACGGGCTAAGAGTTACCTTTCAGAATTAATTATAATAGTGACACAATAATTATTATTATTGCAGGGAGTCGAATTATTATTATTGCATGGGTCAAGAAATGAAGGTCCTGTAATTGCAAGTAGAGGTGGAGCTGTAGAAATACTTTTTGTTATTATGACCCTATTTTTATGCCTTGGCTGGTATCGTCTGGGCAAATGCAGCTTACCTAGATTCCTATTATGTATATTTCTGGAGTTGATGTAACTGACAGCTTTGTAGGTAGATACCCATCACTGAGAAAGGCTCAGTGATTTCTTAAAGACCACAATTACGTGTAGCAGATGTTTTTCTGTGCTAAGAACCACAAATTCAGGTAATATCAGAAAACAATGAAAGGAAAACCAAGAAGAGCTTGGTTAGAATTCAACATCATTTCTAGGAGGGGCTCTGTAACCTACAAAGATTTTTGCTGGGTGTGGGGATTTGATCCAATTGGTTAATAGTACGGAAGGATGAATAAATTTAGGATTAAAGGTAAGCTTTTAAGAGGTATTTTTGTTTTGTTGTTTAAGTAAGCAAAAATGTATGCAAATGTCTGTGCTTTACCAAAAGCATCAAGTCAAAAAACTTCAGAATATCTGCTGGTCTCTTTCTCCAACTCCATTCATAGATACACAGGATGCCAGAGCAGCAAGGGTTCTTCAAGTGATCTAGTCAAACTCCTCTTATTTTGCAAGTGATGAAACTGAGGCCCAGAAAGGAGAAATGAGTTGACTGATTAATATCAAATCTAGAACTCAAGTCTCCTTAGTCCTTATTTAGGGGGTCACTGCTAGACTCTTGAAGAGAGACCCCTGGTTCTCTTCTAATAGACTGCCAAAGGCACTGGTTCCCTACATAAGCAAGTGTGCAGCTCAAACTGTCCAAGAAGTCTTTATATGCCTAGGGATATGAAAGAGGAAGGAGCCCACCCTTTTCCTTTCCAGGTGGGATTGATAACTGAGCTGACCAAATTTTTCTAAAACTTCTTTGGAGGTCTGAATTGAAACCTGGCCTCTCACCTGTAGCTGGGCTGTTGCTGCAAGCATCTTCTGCCGAGTTTGCAGTACTGTGGATGAGGACATGGAGATAGGTACAGTTTGCCTCAACCACCTTATATCTTCCCACATACAAGACAGCTGCAAAAGAAGTCACGAGGTCATGTCATCGTCCAAGCCAGTACATGATTTAGGTTGTGGCATCAAAGCAAAGGAGGGAGAAGGAAACCTGACCCCTGATGTTTGTTCTCCAGTCCATTTTCAGATACACGCGAAACAACTTTTTGATCTCTGGCCAATTGGAAAAAGATCTGAATGTTAATGAAACAGTCAGATCCACATTTTAGTCTTTGCCAAATGATCCCATAACTCAGAATAGTGGAGACACGATCTGACAGAATGCAAGCTTCTTTGCTTTGAAATGTAGTGTAGATGCTACTTTGGCATTTTGTATGACATAGGGCATATCAGAGCCGAAAGAGATCTTTGAGATAATTTACTTCCACCCCAATACTTTGATCACTGGGGACCCCTCTACTAAGGTTTCAGAGATTTATGTGCAGTAACATTGGTGCAAAGTGGGGAAAAATAAAATCAGAACTCAGTATACCTTCGTGAACCATAGAAAATCTTGTGTAATGGAACTGGTGTGAGAGTCATCTATTTCAACAATCGGTATTTGATCTTCATTGGTGACTAGCATATTGTCTTTGTAATAAAATATAACAGCTATGTAGAGTCCCCTAAAAAGAAAAAAGCAAAATAAAAATTGTCCTCAGCTGTCTCCTGTACCAAGCCTGAATCATGGGAAAAAATACGAAATATGTTTGGACATGATAAAAGATAATTTAAAATATACCTATGAGCATCTTCTTGCTGAGTATCACAAGTTCACTGGCTAGAACTCAGAGAAATTACGATGTTCTCTGAATTCTCAGGAGAAAAGTGAACTTCATATTCTTTTAATAACAAAAAAGAGATGTCTACCAAGTTTCCACTCATAACCAAAACCAGCTGGTTCCTAAGAAGTGAAGACTTCCTGGAAAAACTACACAGGACCCACCGTTTTAAAGTCTTCACAAACTTGTTTGAGGAATGGAATAGGTGTTTCAGACTCCTTGAGACTGACTGCTTGCGGCCCGTGGTTTGTAATTTTGAACTTTCTGGAACATAGGAAAAAATACAGTGTGAATTCCATTGGCAGAACAGCAGTACCGGTACCTTCTTCCCACCTTCCTCCCTTCCTGTCTCTTGCCTCCTCAGTATCACTTATCCTCAGTTTCCTGTAGGGATTCAGCTCATTCATTCCTACAAGAAGCTTTTCTATCTTGAGATGCCAGTAGTTAACTCAATTAATGAACAGCTCCTCAAAAATGCTGGAGATGAATGAGATTTATAACTCCTGGGGAAACCACTTCGGTGTTTTGTGTGTACTCTCCATATGAGTGATTTAGTATAAGGTGGGATTAAAATAATGGAATCAAGGGACCGGCCCCATGGGAGAGTGGTTAAAGTTTCTCACACTTGGCTTCAGTGGCCTGGGTTCGCTGGTTCATATCCCAGGTGCTGACCTACTCCACTTATCAGCCATCTGTGGAGGCATCCTGCCTACAAAGTGGAGGAAGATTGGCATGATGTTAGCTCAGGGCTAATCTTCCTTAAGCAAAAAAAAAAAAAAAAAAAAAAAAGGATTGGCAATAGGTGTTAGCTCAGGGCAAATCTTCCTCAAAAAAAAAAAAAAAAAGAATCAACTCTTTTGCCCTCCTCCTCTCTCCCCCCATTGCCTTTTAATATTCATACACTTCTCAATGCTGGCAAAGCATTTCTTGTAAGTCTATATATTCCATTAAGATTTTTTCATTATAAAATTAATATAGGCACATTACAGAAAGTCTGAAGAATAGAAAAAACAACAAAATCCCACCCATATCATCCTGTCACTTTAGTACAACCACTGCTACCATTCTGGGGCAGTTTTTTTCCAGTGTATATGTTCACTTAAAAAAATAATTGTAGTCATAGGTATAATTATCATCCTCAGATAAGACAGAGAGGTTAAGTAGATTGTCCAAGATAAAAAAAACCAGTACCCAGAAAAACTGAGACATTCATTCACTGAATAAATATTTATTGGGACACTACTATGTGCAAGGTTCTGTGGCAACAGTGGTGAGCAAATCATCCATTGCTTCTGTTCAGCTTTTCCATTTACAACATGGAGATCTCACTGATAAAAGTGGTAGACTTCCTATAACAGTCTTTGGAAACAGTGCTCCATGGAGCTGAACTACATGATCACTGATTTCAATTCTCGTCTTAAACGTAATGAAGGGAAGCTGAGGTTGTTGGGGTCATCACTAAACTCCTGACAGACATGTCACTGAAGATGAGAACATGGTCCATATCACTGCTGTTAGGCATGGAAACCTGGACCATGGTCCGTGGCTGAGGCCCAGTGTGGCTCTGCCTAGGAACCTATAGGAGCAGTAGCGAATGAGCTGACTGACGCAAGCATTCATGCCAGCTTCAAGCTTGTGCTGGTAATGGTTATTCCTGGCAGAACAAAGCAAAAGGAGTTTTATCTGACTTGACCATGAATTTGGCTGGTCATATGCTGCTCAAAAACGATGCTGCTAGGACTTCTGGTTAAAGGCACCATATTGAACATATTCATTACATACCACTATCTCCCAACACCTCACTAAAAGCAGAGTAAAGAGATTAAAATTAAAAAGGAAACAACATAAATCTATAAAGACAAAGAGATGGGAAAGGAAACAAAAGCAAGTGAATTTTGGTAGCTGGAAAGCAGATGGACAGATGGATTTAGCAGACTTGAGAAAGATGAATCCTAAGCCAGCAGTGGAGAAAGCTGAGAAGTAACCTGACTCACCCCATGAGAACCATATACTGCTGGGAGTAGGGGGTGAATGTGGAGCTAAAATCGGGGATTTGTTGAAGTCTGTTTAAAAAGCAGTTAGAATTATAGATATCCTTCCGTATCCTGCGTAGGTGGACAACTACCTCTTCCCCACTCTAGAAGAAAGCTAGTGGCTTATTCTATGAAAAGCATAAAAACAGAGGTCTCTAAAGTGGTAGACACGGGGTACAGTTAAAAATGGGGGAGAGGGGGTAGTATGTACTCCAAGCAGGTGGATTAAATGAAAGTTTCCATACAGAGTATTTCCCCATTGGGCTCTCAGAACAGTGGTACTTAAACTTGTACCCTCCAGGAAGGACGCTAGAAGAAACTTCCTTGGAGACTAGCCTAAGAGAATACACCTAAAGATTCTGATGTTGGCTTCACTGCTTTCCTAAAGATAAGGCAGGGCAGATCACCTTACAGGGAAACCTATAAATAAAGAGCCCTATCCATGTGCTCAGAGCTTCCCAACGGCTATTGAGTTCCCTTCTCTTAAACAGAGCAAACATCCAGGGATCACCAGGCAGTTGCAAAAAGCATGTAACAGGAAAGACAGAAGTCAAAAACAAAGAATCAAAAAGAGCTATTTAGGGGAGAGATTATGCTGAGAAAAGAAAATATAAAATGAAACAAAGCCTATCATTACTAGCCTGAAAGATAAGAAAAGACGTTGCTCCTTGTAAAAGGATAGGAGTCTGTAAGAGAAAGATTCAGAGAACAAAAGAGAGCACTGGAAACTAAAAATATGTTATCAAAGTCTGAAAAACCCAATAGAAGCCCTAGAAAATAAAGTTAGAGCAATCTCTGAGAAAGTGGAACAAAAGGACATGGAAATGGAAAGTAGGAGAGAGGAAAAAGAGAAAAATCAAGGACTGGTCTACGAGGGTTAACAGTTGAATAAGAGTTCTCACAGGAGAGAGCAGAGGAAAGAAGGGGAAGAAACAATTAATGAAATAATTTAAGAAAATATCCCATAATTGAATGGTATATGTTTCCATATTCAGAGGACTTGCCAAGTGTGCAGCACAACAGACAAAAATAGAGCCACACAAAGGCACATACATAACAGTGAAATTTTAGAATACTGAAGTTACTAAAAACAAAATGAAAGCCTCCAGAGTAGAAAAAACATAGGTTTCATATAAGACTTCTAGAATCAGAATGGCATCAGACATCTCAGCACTGAAAGCTAGAAGACAATGAAGCAACACGTTTAAAATCTGAAGGAAAATGATTTCAACTGAAAATTCTATACTTCTTCAAACCCTTAAATAAGTGTTAAGTAGAATAAATACATCTTTAGACATTGAATGTATCCAAAAATTAACTCCCAAGTATCCTCTCAGAAAGCTACTAGAGGAAAGGCTTTGCTAAAATGAGAGACTAACTCAACAAAAAGGAAGACATGAGATACAAAAAGAAGAAATCCAATATTGGAGAGTGGCAAGAAGATGCCTCAATATGGTGGTGAAAGGATATCCTAGGGCGACAGCTGTGCACCAGACACAGAGGCAGCCAGTAACCAGTGTAGACTGGAGCAGGTCAGAGGACTCCATGAGTGGATTCTTTGGGAGGATTCAATTGAAACAATACTAAATTATGCGATTGTATTGAGAGGAAATTGGAGAATAGCTTGGAGATTAATTAGTTTTAACCATATAGAAAATCAGAAAACACACAATAAAAGATGATTATTAACTATAGGGAGAACAAAAAGTTATCCAGGAAAGGAAAATGATCATTACAATGTAAACAAAAATCATCGATCTTGCTAAAATTATAAGTGTTTTAGGAGGATGAGGGTATAGGAATTGCATGTGCATGTAAGAGGGTGGAGGGGTGAAAAAGAGAGAAATCATCATCTTCCTTAGTGAGATAATGGCTACAATTGAAAAAAATCAAGAATTAGCAGTATAAACATGTTTATTTAGAGATATGGGGAAAATATCAAAAGAATTGGTTAAAAGAATTGAGCCTTTGGGGAGTAAAAAATGAAAGATGTGGCAAATTGCTTTTTTTTTTAATAAAGTTCTTTTAAGTGTTTTGCTAATATTAAGTCATTCAATCCTTAAACAATGGCTGACAGGTATATGTAATTCTTATCTGCATTTTACAAATGAGTAAAGTGATACGGAGAGGTTAGGAAACTTGCTTAAGGTCACACAGGTAGTAAATGTCTACCCTGGATTTGAACCCAGGTAGCCTGACTTCAGAGTATAGCCACATGTAATGTAAATAAAAATGAAGATTAAACTAAAAGAATAAAAAATAAAGGGCTGGCCCAGTGGCGCAGCGGTTAAGTTCACACATTCTGCTTTGGAAGCCTGGGGTTTGCTGGTTTGGATCCCTGGTGTGGACCTATGCACTGCTTGTTAAGTCATGCTGTGGCAGCATCCCACATAAAACAGAGGAAGATGGGCACGGATGTTAGTTTAGGGCCAGACTTCCTCAGCAAAAAGAGGAGGATTGGTAGCAGATGTTAGCTCAGGGCTAATTTTCCTCAAAAAAAAAAAAAAAAGAAAAGAAAAGAGAAAAAAATAATAAAAAGAGAAAAAATAAAATGCTACCACCAGTAGTGAAAGGGGCCCAGGCAAATGTTAAATACCCCAGGTCTCCTATATTCTGGGCACATGGTAGAATTGCACTGCTTGGAGCCTTTATGGTTGCATGAAGCCATGTGACCAGTTTTGGCCAATGAGCATAAGTGACATACATAAAGTGACATAAGTGAGGATAAGTGACATACGTAAAGTCTTGCCCATATGAGACCTTCAAGAGTTTGTTTTCTCTCTGCCATGGGTGCTAGCAAATATTTCTAGAAAGAGGATGATGACAACACAGAAGGACAGCTCTCAGCTGACCAGTGGTAGACCGATAGCACGTAGGAGAAATAAATATTTTGGTTACTGCAGCATGATACAGCCCATCTTGACTAATACAAGGTCTAAACTCACTTTTCTGCTAAGAACCACCATGGCTTCTGTTCTGTCTCTGCTTAGTTTGGGCTCTGGAGCAGTAGGTCTTGGTTTTCTGGACCCTGAATGCAGTAGGTCTTTAGCTTTTAAGTGCTTTGAGCATAGGGAGTTTATTTTATTTATACTAATATGTCTCGCACCTGACACATAGTAGACATTGTTTCAATTAATATTTGCTAGTTGAAAATTTGGATGATAACTGAAATTCACTCTTGTAGGGTTACTGCTATGGGGATCACAGTTGGCTTCTTTATAATTCATTATGTATGTCAGAGCATTAATCTTGTGAACAATAAAGGCTGCTTAGCATCTCCATTGAATTTCCATCTCAGTACTGAACTTGTAAATTAGCTGTGGCCAGTACCTTAGCCAAAATACAGAAATTAATGTGGGTTTCGGTACCTCCCATGCAGGGCTTTGGTAGGAGAAGGGATTTTTTTGTTTTGTTTTATTACTGTTGCATTTGGAATATCCTGTGAATTTATTGAGTACTCCAGCCTCATTACTATGGAGTCGATTATACTTTAATTCTAGGACATCAGTAAAGTGCTGAGGATGGAGAGTACCCCATTCTTCATCTGGAAGAACAATGGAAGAAAAATAAGCTAGAGTTTGTGAAGAGCCAACACTGTGCCGCGTGAGTTTAATGCATTATCTAATTTAATCCTCATAATGATCCTGAAAGATAGATACTATTATGCTGATTTTTTTCTAATGGGGAAGCTATGGCTCAGAGATTAAATGCTTTTCTCAAGGGCACACAGTAAGTAGTAAAACTGGGATTTGAAATAATTATTTTTCTAATTATAAAATTTTAAAAGTTCATATCTCCAATAAACCACATAGTATCTCAATGTAGTTGAGTATTTTAAATAATAATTTTGTAGTTTTCTTTATGCAATACCTAATTTTCCTTTTAGACTTAGAGCAATTTGTGTTAAATTATCTTAGAATCATTCCCTTTTTGTGTGAGGTCATTTCTTTTATCCTGGCATATTAAAGGTCAGCATTTCCCAAAGTTTGTGCCTTAGAACACTAATTATGTGAAAAATGTTTTACAGTGGCCAAATAAGTTTGGAAAATGCTTAACCAAATTCAAAATGTCTCTTTATTAGAGTCTTTAATATTTTAATGTCCATTTTACATTTCTAAAAGAGGAATATATAATGTAAAATTTTCCAAACTTACTTGACCCTTTTTCAGTTGAGCATCTTATAGAATCACTGCTTTTTGGAACACAGTTTGGGTACTGTTTAAGTGTCCAGAGTATATTTCAATATAGAATGTATTCTTCCTTTTTGGGAAGTTCTACCTTTTGCCTTACTTAAATCTTTCCTGATATTGTGTTTACATTCCTGTGAGGGAAAAGCATGTACATGATACAAGTTGAATAGAAACCATAGAAATAATTGGTCTGTCTAGACAATCATTTCTTGATTATTGGATGGTAATCCAATAGTAATGGGGAAAGAATCTAAATCCTAAGATAATATCAAAAATAATCCCTTATTCTCATGAGTAGTTTTAGCTTTCCCCCTTCAATAAAGACCAAACACAAAGTGGCTTATGAATCGCAAAGAATCATCTATCCAATTGCTTTATTACCTTTGCCTGCCATACAGGAACCAATGGGCAGGAGAATGATGGAAAGGCAGAAGATGAGAAAGGAGCCTAGATAATGCCTGACCTGGTTAAATGGGCCCTAGATAACTGAGAACTGAGTGTACTTTGGTCAATGTGGAATGTTGAAGGCCCTGGTCTGAGTAAAGTTTTCCTAGAGATCTGGGGATGAAATCTCACTTGAGTTTCCTTCTCAAGCTTCTTCCATGTATATTTACATCTCCTAATGAACCACTCATTAGAACATTACTTTTTTTTTGCAAACCCTTGTCCTCATTCCTAGCTATAGCCAACATTTCTGAAGGGCTCTGTTGTCATAGCTGTATAGTAATAGGGAATAACTTTTTGCTAATGCTAAATATGATTGATTTCTTTAGCATCTCTTAGTTTCAACCATAGATTTCTTACCTAACTGGTCAAGCAGTGCCCTGAATCTAGAGAGTGCAATGCAGTTGGAGATCTGACGGATGAAGGAGCATGGAAAATGAAAACTTTACGGAGGCTTTAATTCTCCAAATAAAACTAAGTGCCTGTTCCACGAATCATTACACAGATCAGAAACCTGACCCTGTCTCATTTGAACAGCCCAAGTAGAAGAGAAACTTTTAAAAGCTTTTCAGAGATTTTTTGGATGTAGTTGGCTAGGTCTAGAGAAAGTATGCTCTGCTTTCTCCTGAGCAGTAGTACAGGGGAAGATTAAAGTCCATTGCCCATTCCTGATGTAAAGGTGGGAGAAAAAAAATGAGGTGTGGCAGGAAGACTGGACTTGGAGACAGAAAACCTAGGCTGGTATCTTGATTCTGACTTTTCCTGGTATTTGAGACCTTGGTCAAGTCACCTAGCCTCAGTGATAGTTGCCAAAATGAGGATGAAAAAGAGATATTGGGTGTGAAATTGCATGTAAACTTTATTGTAAATGTACACAAAGGTTAATATTATTGTTGCTGTTATAATTGGTGGAGCTTCCTTAGGGACGATCCTGAAATTTTCCTTGGAGGTGAAAAGTTTGAGGGTGAATATCCCAAAGACCCAGTGCCCTGAGGAGTGTGTGAAGGGACAATTCAAAGGGAAGGCAACCAGTGGCAGCTGCTGTTTTTCTTGTGCTTGTTTTCAAACTCTTCATATGGAGAGAGGGTGAGAGAGAAAGAGAGGAAGGGAAGGAAGGAGAGGAAAATCTCTTCTGAAGGGTTAAAGCAAGATAGTGCTGTAAAGTGATTCCAGATGTACAAATATTAATATCTCCCTCTCCCTGATGAATGAGAAGGTATGACCCAGTTAGGAAACTGCTAAAATTACCGGCGCCACTGAGACCTCAGTTGATGGCCGAGCGCAGATTTTTATCCTTACCCCGGCAACTATAATGCTGACGAAGGGCTCGGACCTGCTGCAGCAGACCCTCCAAAACTTCACTCTGCCCCTTGTGTCTGGGCTCTCTGTCGTCATAGTCTTTCCAGTCTGTTGAACAAAAGAAACAAACAGGGAAAGTTTAAAGCAGAGGAGTCCTCTTCCCTACCCTGCCTCAGTTTTGCTCATACTACCCACAGACTCTGTGGATAAGTACCCAGCACTTGCACTGCTAGCAGGCAATGCCAAGGGTTTGGAAGCTGCCATTGTTCAAGGCTCTGTGCAAAATATTAATTGTGGTTGATTTGTTGTGTTGGGCAGTTTTAGGGAAGAGAAAATGGCAATTGGAAGCCAAAAGAAAATAGAGAATTTGGGAGTCCAGTTTCCTCTTCCCCAGCTCCTTACCCACCTTTTCAGCATCCTGTGTCCTAATCAGTTCCCCTTCCGCTTCTACACTCAGCACCCCAATTCTCAGCTGGATTTCCACAGTAGGAAAGAAACGGGTGGGAATGTGCAGACTAGATGAAATCCACAGTCCCAATGCTTTTATTGTAGGTTTCACACTTTTGGCCAAATTGACATTTCTTTCCAAGGAAAGAGCCCATGTCAGATGCCAAGAAATGGAAATCTACATTTCGCTCTAATGAATGTCTGCTTTGGTTAGCTGGCACAGCAACCCCTGCACATACTCTGAGCCACCAACCACCCTGTCTGCTCAGTCTCTAAATATACAGTATTAGCTTACATGGCAAATTTAAATTGCAATACCCACTGAGATTTTTCTCCCCCTTCTATTTTCATTCCATTTGGCTATAATGATATCAAGTGTAATAACCCGTATGGGACTAATGTCAAGATTGTAATTCTGCTGTCTCCAACTCTGGATTTTTTTTTCAGCAGGTCAGTCATTTCATAGTCCATCCCTTCTTCCCTCTATTTTCTTTCCCCCGGTTTTTCTTTCTGAACCTTTCAAAAGCAACAACTTAAAGTGCTCCTTGGTTGAGATGCTTTCTCTAAAAATGCTACTCATTTTTTCTTAGAAAAGTCAGTTGGTTCATGAGTATATCTGAGGCTTAAATTCTAGTTGAATGAGTTTCAAATTCCCTCCCTCCAGATTTATTTTAAAATATGGAGTCTCCCTTGTTTAGAAACTTAAGCAGATGCCATGACAGTTAAAGTTAGGTAAAAGCATTCCGCATTGGTCCATCCAAGGCCAAGTAGTACAGCACACTTAGAAAGAAAACAGGTTCTGGAGTCAGATAAACCTGGGTGTGAATCCTGGCTCTTCTGCTTCCTAGATAAGGCAAGTTATTTACACTGACAAGGTCACTACTCTGCAATATGAAAAAGGAACATAGAATCTACCTTGCAGGATTTTTGTGAGGGTTAAAGGAGAGGTATGTTAGGTATCCAGCACAACGTGACATGGCAGGCATTCTGTAAATAACTCAAAAAGAAGGGATTTCATTGATGGAAAGTTAACTCCCTGAGCAGTGAGTATGAAAACATCATTTCTTACCCTATCAGATGATTCCCTGTGAAGAAGGTGGCCTTGGAGATTTTCTGATCCTTCCTCCTTCCCACCCTCCCTCATGTACCCTTCTCTGTTTTACCTCTCAGAAGACTGAGGCTCAGCAATAACCATTCCAGTTCTATATTACTCAGCTTGTTGATGGCATAGCCAGGATTATAACATAGTCTCATGACCCTCCATATAGTGCTCATTTCCTTACATCCTGGACATGTTTTTGTTTTTTTTTCTTTTGGGAAGGAGGGTCAGAGCTTGGTTGGAGTCTGTGTGCTGTGGCTTTAGTTGTGGTCAACTCTGGAGACAGGGAATTGGCATAGCTACCTTCTGTAGACTCTGTTCCTTGTGGGCAGGAACTGTGACTTAATTTCTCTTTGCCTCAGGTTTCTTCTCTGTAAATTGAGTTTTTGAATCTCTTTTTAGATTATTTGAGGTTTCAAAGGAATAATGTAAGTACAGCACCATTCTGGGCACGTAGGAGACATTCATTAAATGTTGGTGAGACATTGTGACTAGAAGCATGATGGTGTTCAGGCACAATGGGCTAGCAAAGGTCTTTTACTGGGAAATTTGGAAATGTTTGAGGAAACAAACTCCAGGTGGCTCTTATAATATCTGTAGTGTCCCTGGTATCTGGGCACAGTGAAAATAAATGTTGCTTTCAGGGATTCCCAAAGGCCATGAGTTTTTTCTTGTAGTTGGATGCGTGCATCTGAAGTGCCCATGAAAACATGAGCAACATTGTTTGCTTGAGTAAAACTTCTGGTGGCTGAATTATTGTGTGGCCTTGAATATGCTAATACATTCTAATGAGTGTTAATACTGCCGTCAATGCAAGGGGAGATGAAATGGACCTGGCTCTTTCAGCTGAACCCTGTTACATCAGAGGCGGGCTTGAGCTGATGACTTTATGATACGTTAGAAAATTGCTAATGCTAAATTGCAGCCCAAGTGAGCACTGGACACGATGCCAAGGTTTTTGGAAAGAATGAGTTTTTCTCAGACATATTTGGAAGGTTCTGAGGACTACATAAAATAGGAGACTTTAGGGATGAGGGAGAAAATTGAAAATATATTAAGAAATCAGGAACCTGACAGGAATAAACTTAGTGTGGTAAGAAAAGAGCAGATTGTGCCACATAATACAGTTCACTGTTCTGGTAATGAGATACTTCAGTTGCAACACAATGCAGAGCTTACATTCACTGGTGATATCAGGACTTTCCTGATCGTAACTCAGACAAGCCCGTCTGGGTCCTTTTCTCTTATTATGTACCATACTATATAACATAAGTCTATAAAAACACATTAAGGCCTTTTGTAAAAATATAAAAAAAAGTTTTATAGCTTACTGGAACATATTACCAAATTTCCAATTACTCTGTCATGTTAGAATACGTTGTCTTCTAGTAAATATTTGAATACTGATATATGTTACATCACAATGTCATACTCTGTTTATAAATAGAACCAGAATGTTTTTATATTGTTCTTTCCAAGTGATATGGCATGTCTGAACCAACTATAATGACATGTTTGGATTTTAGTTCTTTGCCAGAAAGCTCTACTAATCAAATGTGCTGTTTTAGAAAACGTTGCCATTTGCTATGTTAATTACTAAGTAGTAAGTGACTCTTCCGAGTCCTGGACAACTGTTCTTGTCATTCTGGAGAGAGCTCTTCAAATGGGCTGTGAGGGTGGGGCTGGCCCCATGGCCGAGTGGTTAGGTTCGCGCGCTCCGCTGCAGGCGGCCCAGTGTTTCGTTGGTTCGAATCCTGGGCGCGGACATGGCACTGCTCGTCAGACCACGCTGAGGCAGCATCCCACATGCCACAACTAGAAGGACCCACAACGAAGAATATACAACCATGTACGGGGGCGGGGGGGAGGCTTTGGGGAGAAAAAGGAAACAAAATAAAATCTTTAAAAAAAAAATGGGCTGTGAGGGAGAGTGTCTGAATAGAATTTGAAGTTTATAGAGTGAGAACATCTGACATTTATAAGTGAATGCATTCATATACAGATCAGAATTTGCATGGAGTATGCGTTTGGAGTGGGTTTCCGCCTGTCCCACCTTCAGATCAACTGAGACTAGCATTTTTTTGCTTTTTTGTCCTTTTTATCCCTCCAACTCCGATAATCCATACTCTTTTCTTTTCTCTCCTGGAATGAGATTGGTTCCCTTAGTATCTTAATCTTGCAATATTCCCAGTTTATGTTTCTGATAAGTCTTTAATAAGAAAGATGTCCAAATAAGACTGGAATCACTAAATCATCAAATGCTATGGGACTCAGGAGCCTTAGAGATCTCTGGTATTGGTGGTCCAAGACTCTGTATGACCTGATTTAGCTATCTGTATCCACTAGAGGCGGTAGTCAGGAATGGTTGTTTAGCTTAGTCTGCTGGTCTGCCTGATAGCAGGGTATTAATTCCCATGGTAGGGTCTTGACCAGTTCAGGCTTGAATCCTGGTGCATACCGGAGTTGTGACCTTGGGCAAGGAAACATCCTCTCTGAATCCCAATTTCCTTATTAATAATGGAGGAAGACAGCATAGTGGTTAGGAACAAGGTCCCTAGGGTCTGGATCTGACTTCATTATTTGCTATCTTTGTGATGTTGGACTCTGTATGTATGTGCCTGTATGTTAATAGTTCTCTCATCAGGAAAATAGATCCAATAATAAAAATCACCTCAATAGGTCTGTAATGAAGATCAAATGAGTTAATCCATGTAAAGTTCTTAGATTAACACACGGCATAAAGTCAGTCTTATAAATGTTAGCTCTGATGTTGACAGTGATGCAGATGATAATGATGGTGTTGGTTATCCACAAGACGGGAACAATGACAATGACTCTTGTGAGCATTAAGTGAGACACTGAATGTGAAAGCCCATAAGATACCACCTGATTCATGGTTAGTCCTGGGTAATGGGTTGTCATAATACTTGAAAAATATACAAATATATGAAAAAGGAAACTAAAGAGACCATAATCTCATAACCCAAATATTCACTGTTAAATTTTGATAGTTACACACAGGCACATCTACCTAATTATAGTCAAACTCACAGTTTAAATGTTATAACTTACACCGTAAGAATTTCTTCAACACAATGAATGGGTTTTTAAAACATCATTTTTAGTGGTTGTGTCTTGTTCTATAGTATGGATATGTACATATACTTTATTTAACCATTAAGGTAATATTGGATATTTGTCCTCCCCACTACATGTGATATTTTACTCTATCAATATATTGCTGTAGTGCACATGTTTGTACATAATTGTTTGTCTGCATCTGTTTCCTTAGGTTAGATTCCTAGATGGATAATTATGGGGTAAAAAGAAATGAATGTTCTTATGGCAGTTGACATAATCTGGCAAATTGTGTTCCACAAAGCATGCAGCAGTTTGCACTCTCACAGGAAACATATGATAACATTTTTAACTATCATATTAGTGAAGATTTAAAAGAAATTAAAATACAATTGAGAGCAATAGGCTCATTATGCAGAAAAATCTATCATATGGTATGTCTGGAGATGTTTTTTCCAGTTAATTAAATTTTCTGGTTAATACAGAGTTACCAAATATACCAGGCATGAATTATTAATCTTCAAATAATTACAAGAGGCTTTTGCTGGTTTTTTTCAGCCACCACTACAAATATTATAGAATATATTCATGCCAGAGTGTAGCAGAGTGCCTGTTAGCAAGAAAGCTTTTCTTCTGACAGAATGTAAGTAAAGTTTGCTAGATTTCTGGTGAGGAAGGGGAGATGAGAGCCAAAATGGACTGTATGTACTCTGGGGCAGCCAGTCCCACTGTGTCACTTCATACATCCCCATGAAAGTCCTGTGAAAGGGTTCTGATTGGACCCATTCTACAGATGTTGAATTGAGACTCAATGAGTTAAGTAACTTTTGAAGGCCACACAGCTAATAAAAAGTATAATGGGTATCAAATTCAGTCTTGCTGGTTCCAAATTCCCTTTCCTTTCATTCCACTGGGTTGCCTCCCAGGGGAACCTTTCTGCAGAGGAATCATTCATTATGTGGTCCAGATGCTACCCTGAGGAGGTCTTGTTAGTCCTAAGCAGTGCAGAGAGGGAATAGCAATGGCATCCTGAGGATGGAGTTGGAGTTGGAGCCTGTTGCCAGGCTTGAGACAGTTCACAGCCACCACCTACTAGAAGGAGAGGCACATGCTGGCGTCGTGGTCTGAGCAGGTCCCCATCCTTTCATGTTATAAGCCGAGACTTGGACAAAATACTGTTGGCCCTGCAAAGTATTGAAATAGAGAGAATAATGCATCGGGAATTTTAATCACTTTTACTCTAGAGGCAGATTCCTGTGTCTGATGAACTTGTTCATCCTTGGGAATGACCTACCCCACTATCCATACTTTAGCTTTCTAGCTTTTCTTGACTATTATGTTTACATATGATAATAAAAATATTTGGGCTGCCCTCTTAGTTTCTTTGTGCCTTCTTTTTTTTCAAAATTGGAATATCATAATTACTTTTCCTGATCCCCCCAAAACAATTATATACCAATTTTTAAAAGTCACAGTTCTATAAGGTTTGCCAAAAACAACAATTTCGCACTCTCACCTCTTTCTCCTTATTTTCCCCTCCCCAGAAGCAATCACCATCACCTTTTTTAGCTGATAAACTTGCTTATAAAATTAACAAGTTATAATGAACATCTTTTCAGATTAGTAATTAAAGACCTGCTTCATTCTTTTAGTGGCTGCACAGTATTTCACTGTGGGCAAATACTTTTTATTTATTTAACCAATCCCTCATTGGTGGACATTTATTTGACCAGTCTCTCATTGGTTGACATTTAGATTGTTTCCATACTTTATGCCACAATAAATAGTGCTGCAATAAATATTCTCCACTCAGCTATTCAAACATTTTTTTTATTAATTCTTTGATGTTATTTCAATTTTAAAACCATTATTAAAATAATGGCTTCTATTTAACGTCTTATGACATAAAGAATTAAATTGTTTTTGTTTGCCTATAATCTTTTAAAATGTTTTGTATGGTTTATATTTTTGCTTTGGGAAGATTTTTGTTTTCCAGTGAACCCAAAGGGGCATTTTAGAAGCCAGCATTTGATAAAGCATTGCTTGCAAAAATTGTAAAATGGCGTTTGAAGTTAAAAAAAAACCAGTAATCTTTGTAGAGCTTTTGCTAGGGATTTAATAATATTGGCCTTACCATATTATAAAGTTAAATTTTTTTAACATTTAAATGGGTTTCTATGTACCTCAAGGTTATGGAGATTCTGTGGAAGTGTAAATCTACTTCTAGGCTTTTATGTGATTAGGATAGTGTCTGCATTGCTCTCATTGGACGACCAAGTGGAAAAACTTAATCCCTATGAAAATGAGTTCAAATATTAGAGAAAGTCTCTATGGAGAGTTTTCCATTTTTATCACCATATCGCTTTTTCTTTTAAGCAATGGAAATTCCCTAGGGTTCTCTTTTGGCCCTCTTCCATTATGTGAGCTATAGGGTGGGAAATGAGTCTTCTGCCGATAGCATCTCTGGGGACACCCCTCAGCTCAGGGGTTTGTTTGTTCTGGTAATACACAGTTTTGGCCCCTGGTCTAGACGTGTGATGAGGACTACAAGTCAAGATTCTGTGGTGGTGACCCAAACACCAAGAAATCTATTAGAATAAGCTGGTTCACACTTAAAGAGATGCAACCTAATGCAGCTTTTTAAATGTTGGATTTCAGGATTATACTTTACAGATAATTGTTTTAGTTGACTAACCGTTTAGAGAAACAATAGCAACAACAAAATTCTCCTCTACCTTTCACGTATAAAGGTCCTAAGATATTAATTATTTGAATTGGACCCCCCAAAAATACATATTCGATTTAAGTGTACTTTAAAAATTTTTTGATTAAAAGAAGATTTTGATGATCAAGTTTTGTTTCATTTTAATTGTTTGAGGATATATAGCATTTGTTCCAGTCTGAACTGATTTGCTAAGAGTTTTTATTTTTTGCATTTCATATGCTCTTATGTCTTCTAGTTCTATAAATAGTTAACATTTAAGTTTAGATTGGTTAAACAAATAAGCACAGTTTGTTCCAGTTTTTCATTCACAGTTTAAATTGGTTCAGGTTACTGAGAAATGTAGCGCCACAATATATAGTTTCTTTTTTGTGAAAGCAGATTTAGACAGATTTCTTTTTTTAATCAAGGGTGAAGGATTTCTCTCAGGAAATTGTGTGACTCCAATTGATGACTGATCTCAACCGAGGCTGTGGGGGTGAGGGTTAGATGAGGCTGTTATTTTTACCGTCAGACAGGGAGTCAAAATTGGATCTCTCAGAGCCTTTGATCCCCCCCGAAGATTAGACTGTGATCTAGAAAGCAGCAGCTTTCAAGGCTTGCATGAGGCCAGTCTTTTTCTGATCTCCATACAACATGGCAGCTTACAAAGTGGTTCATGCTGTCTGCTCACTCCTTTGTGGAGTTCAGATTATGGATACCAGACATATCAAGCTTAACGAGTGGCAGTTGTTGCCAGAGGACTGGGTGTTGGCTGTTGCTTGCAGAATTGGCATTTGCTACCAAAATCCCAGCACAAACAACAGGGGCAGAGGCTTGGGAAGTCTAATGGGAAGATTTGGCATTTACCATTTTAAGTCCTGTGATTGTGCATCTCAGGGTCTGCAGGTTTTCCATGATTATTTCTCCAGCCGAAGGACAAAAGTCTTTAGACATGCTCCATTCCACTGGAAGGAGAGAGAGGCGAAGGGAGAAGAGAGAATGAAATTCAGTCATATATCAAGAGGCATCATAGAAACTATCATGTAATCTCTCTCAAAAACAGTGTTTACCCTCTTTCCCCTATATTGGCTCATCTAGCAATTCTCTTTGGAATGTCAAGTCAGTTTCCAAGTTCACAATTATTTTTTAAAAACAAGAGTGGAAAAGAAGTAGTCATTCGATGGTGATTAATATACCTTAAATATACATGTGTGTATGCATGTATATATGTATATAGGCACACATATCCTCAGGCACATTACATATAAAAGTTCATTGTATATAGAAGGTAAATTATTTATTGCATGTGAGAAGTGAATGGGTCATTAGGACATTACCTTCTATTCACTCCCCAAGTCTAGTTTCTGCTTCACCATTCTATTGAAAGTGCTCCTTCAAGGTCTCAGTGATATTCATAGCCCAAATAAGAAGCCTCCTTTCATTTCCTTACACATCATTTAACGCCTCTCCTTCTGGAAGCATTCTCTTCCTTTAGTGTCTTGTACACTCCTCCCCTGGCTCTCCTCCTACCTGATATCGTCTTCCAGGCTTTTTCATTGGCTTCTCTTCAGCCTGAAGATTTGAGATTTGCGGCTGACCTCTTCAATGCTCTCCCTATACCTGACCTCTCCAAGGTGGGTGTTCATTCACAGGTAAATCATCCAAGTCCTAACACCCCATTTACTATGAGACCATGTTCTTTCATAACATTTACCATTGGTTGAAAAAAGGATGGTCAGGAAAGATAAATCATGCATCATTAGTAAAAGTGTCTTAAGTAACAGTTTGCACATGGCAGGATTTAAGGCAATCCTAAAGGAAGCAGGAATTTGTCACATGAAAGACAAGATGTGTACATTTTTAAACCTCATGATGACAAGCTATAGGCCTTAACATTTAAATTATGTTTTCTATGACAATTAAATACTTCAAAATTAAGCCAAACCATCCCTAAATCCTGCTGCTCCCCTTGAGTCATACAGTCCCTCTGCTTTAGAGTCACTGCCCCTGCATCCTCTGCTCTTCTTCATTATGCTCCTGGGAATCTCTCTTGCTCTCCTCACTCTCTTGAAATTGCTCTCCTAAAATTTCTAGTGCTCTGATCATCTGCAACAGCCTCTTCCCAGGAAATCCTGCCACTTTGGCCTCTCCTACTTTTTTGCCAAGTTCTTTCCCCTTGGTTTTCGTTGCATCTTCTCTTCTGTTTCTCCTGTGTCCTGATCCCCTTTTTCCAGGCTCTCCCTGGTTCCCTTTTTCCTTCTCCCTTTGATGTGATGTTTCTTGGGGATTTGGCTCTTTTTTCACTCCACACATGCTTGCCCTGAGTAGTGACCTTATTTATTCTTAGGGCTCCAACTATGCCTCTTGAAACTGGAATCCTAGGTCTAGCCTCTCTGTAGAGCTCTAACTTCCTCCTGTAAATTTCTACCTGAGTGTCCCCCACTCCACTTGAGTGTCCCCTAAGTACTTCTCATTGCCAGAATGTGTCTCTCTTCTTGTTTTCTCAATTTTAGCTCATGGCATTGCCACATATCCAGTCACCCAACCTCAAATGTCAGAGCATCCTTGCCTCCTCTTTTTCCCCAATTCCTCACAATCAGTTGATTTCTAATCCCTGTAGGTTCTACTTTTTAAATGCCTCCCATAAATTTCCCTCTCCTCCTCATGCTGAAATTACTCTAGAGCAGGCCTTTATAATCATGGGCATCAGCTGCAGTTATTTTTTTGTAGTCCTGATTGATCAATTGATCAACTCTCAGAACTGATTTTTCTGTGCATCTCATCTTTATGTGCAATCCTCTTACTATATAGCCATAATTATAGTTTAAACATGCAGATTTAATTATTTCATTCTTCCATTTAAAATCTTTTCATAGTGTCAAGTGACTCTAAAAATAAAATGAAATCTTAACTAGGCGTTCAAGGACTTTCATAATCTGGTCCCAGCCTTACTCGACTGTCCTCATCTCCTGTCATTTCCCAAAGCAAAGTCCTTGTTGTATAAGTCCCTTACATGATTATTCTGTGTACTTTTCTGCCTCTGTCTCTTTTGCTCATCTTCCAACCTTTGCTTGCTGAAACCCTACTAATCTTTTAAGACTTAGCAAAGCCAACTCTAAATTCCTCAGAAATAATTAAATAAATACACCTGTTTCTGTGTTCCCAAAGCTCTTTATTAGTATGAAAACAAGATTTGTTATACACATATTATGCTTTCTTGTATGTGTCCCTTTTCTTGTTAGATTATGAGAAGTGTGACAATCGGAAAAGGCATCATTCATTTTTTTCCTCTTTGGTACATGGATCTGTGTGTTTGGTGCGTAGAAGGTGCTTACTAAATATTTTACGAGTAAAATACATATATATTTTTCTGATTGTATGCATACACACACACATGTATATGCAGAGGAGACTGGTTTTTCCAAGATGGAGATATTTTTCTTACACGTGAATGTTCTCCTTCTCTAGTCTCTTGCCCTTTGAAGCTCTCAGGCATATTGTAAAATCTAATTAGAATCAAATGATTAAGGTTATAGGTTAACTCTCAAATCAGGACTATATCTCCTTATAAATACATATTCTAAAACATATATATATATGCATTTTAATATATGTTATATATATATGTATGTATAATTTTTTCTAAAATGTTTTATTCGGCTTATGAGCTACTAGCTCTTAAAGTAGCCAAATCTCTGAAAGTCAAATTGGAGAGGGTTTGTAATCAAAGAATAATGTTGCACGTAATTCGAGTAAAGAAAAAAAAGGAATTATTGAAGGACTTATTGCAAACAAAACAAAATTAAAATAAGCAGCAAATGTGCGAGGACAACTAGAAAGAGCAAAGAATATAGGAAAATTGTGGAAACAAACTGTTTTTGGTTGTCATTGAAACATACGAGGTTGACTGATGTGGAGCTCCAAGCTCAAGGCTGAGAATCAAGAGCTTCTGATCCCCCACTAAGGATTCAGAAGAACTAGGGATTAGTGGGAACAATACTGGATTATTTGGCAAGTGATTAATGAAAAGTTGCTCAAAGATACAATCTTTAAAATTTCTGAAGAAAAAGCTTAGTTTTGAATAAAAACTGTTCATGTTCAATTGAAATATGTTTTACATAGCATGTTTCAGGTGGAAAAGAGAACCTGGCTTCTTGAAAAACAAAACAAAAAGCAAATAGAAACATGTTTGTAAGGAGGTGTGGTTCTGCGTTGGGAGTTAGAAAGTTTTAAGCATTTAAGTCTAATTAAATCTTATAACACATCTGGATTTCAAAGGGGAAGGGGCGAAAGAAAGAGAAGATTCACATGGAAGAAAAAAAATTCTCCATGTTGGAATGGCCAGTCTATTCTGGGGCAACCAGTAGTCTTTTCCCTCTATGTACTTCCTTGGATTGTCAGACTCTTTGGACATGAAGGAGCTTCTGGTCATTTAAAGAACAAGGGAGCGAAAGCTAGTGAGCAGCAATCACTTTGAGAGCCAACTGGGACTTCTAAGAAGGCAACTTAGCATGGTCTCTCTGGAAAGTTATATGTAGGTAGTTTAAAGACTTAATATTAAAGCCATGAGAAAAGCACTTATAAGCCTGCTCTAAATCCCTGAAGGGCTAGAGCCATGTATATGAAGTTTAAAACTATATAAGACTTATAATTTTAAGATAAAGATCAAGGCGACTGTTTCTACTTAGGTTTGGGAAATAGAAGCAGGGTTTAATCATGCAGTGGCTCATAGCAGTTGGATATTAGCAAGAAAGGTACCAGACAAAACCTAGGTGTTAGTATTTCTTAAAATTTGGCTCTGGCTCAGACTGTGGTTCACTATATTTATATCGAATAACACGAATATTTTGAATGTGACGTTTTGTTATTTTAACAAATATTTCATTTTTATCTAAGCTTTAGAAATATAGAGTCATTTGGGTGGGAGTGTTCTGGCTGAACACCACCATTTTCCTGATGGCAGCTATAAAAACCAAAGGCCAAAAGCATAAGAAGAAAAAGAAGGTCTGACCTTGTTACCTGAAGTCTATAATGTGAGGAGAAATGTCACAGAATCAGTGACAAGAGTAGAAAATTCATGACTAAAAGTGTTAGGATGCATAAGCAGGGAAGTTAGTCTAAAGCTCAGATAAATTTCAAGCCTCATGGTGTGGACTGTGTGATTAATACATCCTGCTTTTGCTGATAACGCTTTTAGGTTTCAGGCCAGCCTTTTAGAGATGAAGACTATGCAAAAGTAAAGGCATAAGAGAACATTGCAGCAATGTCCAATTAATTTCTATTCAATTGATTAAAAAAAAACCCAAACCTGCTATTGTCCAGGTTCTCCCTAAAGTCTCAAAAGCCTCAAAGCCCAGAGTTGTTTTATCCTGTTCACAATTTAGGGGTATACTTAAAAGAGGAAAGAGGCTCTGCCCAAACCCTCCACTTTAGCCTAGCTAGTCGGTTGATCTCAGATCTATTGCTTATGCTGATTTCTCTTCTGGTATGCTCTCCTCTGTCCCCAAATCATCTTCCTCTTCATTCAAACAGGACTCGTTCAAGGTCTTCTCCTTTCTGTAGCTTTCCCTGGCTTTCGAGAGGCAGCTCCTTTGCCAGTTTTCCATAGCAATTTTAATATATCTCTTACATTGCACTTGGTTTATTGTTTTGCATTTACTTTTTAAGATGTCAGTCTCTTCTGTAGTCTATAAGCTCTTTGAGGGCAAGGACCATATTGGATTAATACCAGTTTCCAAAGCACCTATCGTAGCACCTAGTACAGTATAGGTGGCTCAGTAAGTGTTGGGTGAATTGAACGCTTGATTCTTGACTCCAGAATGCTTAAAGTCTAAGTTAGATAGAAATCTGATGCTGGTACATAAAAAATAAGAAAACAGTGTCGGAATAGAAAAAATGCAGTCAAAAGAGAACGAAAGTTTCTTGAGCTGCCCATTAAGTGGTTGAGATGGAGATTAACTCCTGG